TCTGTCCCGGGCAGCCTAACAGCACCGTGCTGTGTTCCTCACCTTCTCACGAGGCTCAGGAACCTGTCCGTCCCGTGGAGCACACTGGGCCCCCACCTGTGTGTGTGCCATATCCAACAGGATCCCTGATGTGACCGTAGTTTTGATTAAACTCCACGAGGCCAGCCCCGGCTGCCTCCTTCCAAATAACCTCGCAGGTCTGTCAGGAGGCAGCAGGATCTGGAGATGGGGCAGCAGCGCTCCTCATGGGCACGAGCAGCTGCTCACTGTGCCTGTCATCAGCTGCTTCCTCCTGCCAAGGAGTCCAGGATCCAAGAGCACTCGAAGAGGAGACCAAAAACCCCTCTTGCTTGCAGTTCACACATTCTATCAGCGAGAATATTAACTACTAATTGCTAAATAAGCTGAATATATGCTCAAAGTCCAGGTGTTATCGCTTACTGATAAAAAGGCTTCAAACTGCCTTTGGTTCTGCGTTAGAGCGTGCTCGCTCCCATGCAGAGTATTGGTCCTGTTTCCTAACCTGCGTGACAGGCAAGATGGTTCAGATACAATAACCGCAGGAGGTTCAAGGTCCTGGCCATATCTTGCATCTGGCTGATCAGCCGTCCAAGACTGCGTGCCAACAAGCAGAGATCAAAGGAGCAGAAGTGTGGGATCCATGCTTGGGGTGAGTAGAGTTGATGCCTACACCCTTCTTCCCCTCTGGTGCAAAGGTTGGGGCAGTTTCTAAGCCTGGGACCGAGGCATTTCCTTTCTGGATGCTGCTGTGGGTGGCATCACGGCACAGACAGCTTCTCTGTGGACATGTTCCTCCTGCTCACACCGCACGTGGGGCTTTAAATGGGATCAGAGTGAAATATTTCTCTTTAAACTCTATATTCACATGGCAAGATCCTCTCTGTCACCTCTGACCCGCTCCCGCCTGGCTGCTGGTATGGATCTAAGTGCTACAGCATTCAATCACCTTCCAGACAATTGAGCAGGAGCTGTTCCAAACGCCGGCGCTTTCCCTCTCCCCTGCCCCAGAGTAGGAATTACCTCGAGCAGGTCGTAGCGGTGTGTGCAATAATGACTGTAGCAGTGAGCCTCGTTCCCGTTGCCTGGATGCAGGTAAAAGAAAGGAGAAAGGGGAAATTTTGTAGCTGAAGATGTGATCAGATGAGTGTCTGATCCATCTTTAGACCCCTTTTTAACTAAAGTTCCTGTATTTCAGCTAAAGCTAATGCCCCTCTGCTGTCAGGTCCCTTCCTGCAGCGCAGGCAGTAGCTGTTCGTGCCTCTGTTCTTCACAGCTCAAAGTAAAAGAGGCTTGTGTGCAAACCCTGCTGGCACGCTCTTCTTGCTCTGAACACGATGAGGTCGGGGACCTGACCTTTTGCAGGAGGTGGCCTCAACGTGCGTGTCCTGAGGTCACGGAAGGCAGCCCCGTGCTGCTTCCAGCCCCAACTCTGTCCTCCCAGCCATGTAGCAGCCATGAAGGGATGGAGCTGGGTTTTGGGGGGTGAGCCCAGGGGCTCCTGCATAAACCACTGGAAGAGTTTTGAGTTTTAGGTCATAGATTGAGCTAAAAATTGCAACCAGGAGAGTGCAGTAGACAGCAAAGGCTTGTAGAGCTTGTGCCAGCTGGGTGAGGAGGCTCTCTTGTAGCTGAGTGCCACAACAAAGGGCTGGGGTCAGAGCTCTGGGGCTGATCCGTGCCCCTAACACAGCGAGCAGGCTGCACACAGCATTTGGGTGGCTGCTGGGCACCGAAGACCTGGGAGCTGGGTCGATGGAGCTGGTTTGATGGAGCTGGTTCTTGCCCAGGCACTGCTAGCATTGCTTGCCCAGGCTCTCCCTCCCTTAGGTTCATGCTGAGTCTCGTGGCTCACCCCAAAACTATCCATCCCTCACAGCAGGGCACGGAGGCAGAAGCAAAGTATCGGTGCACACTTAAAGCACGGAAAACAGCAGCCCTTTCTGGCAGAGCTGGCTCGGGGAGCGTTCACAAGCAGATCCCCACGGCGGGTCTGAGCAGGGCTGCTCTCAGGGGTGGGATGGTGACAAGGCGTGAGCAGCAGGCTCGGCTCGAGCTGGCGCAGCTGCAGCTGAGCGGGGAGTTTTCTGCTCGCTTGCCCCGCCGTGCACTCTTCCCTTGGCAGCGGCTTGGAGCCTGCATCCCTTCTCCCTACCCACAGGACTGATTGCAAGCTGGAGGGAGAATCTGGTGGCAGCCCCCACAAGCAGTTGGGTGTTTTCCAGATCTCTCCTACTCTCTGTTGCAGCTCTCAACTTGCTTGGAGTCAAGGACACACATTAACTCCCTGTCTGTCTTTCTCTCCCCCACGCAGCAGCATTAGCTATGCTGTCTGACAAAGATGTGCTCTGCTTAGTGAGCGCAGGTTACCTGCAGGGTGACAGGAGCCTTTCCTGGCCTTTGTGGTGAGAGAAATTCATCTGCTTTTGGTTTTTCAAGCTGGTGGGGGACGCTGCATAGCTGAGCATCGTGCCTCTAGATTCTTGGATCACCCCTGCTGCTGGGAAGGGAGAGCTCCCCGTCGCTTTCCACTGTGCTCTGCATGGATCGCTTGCGCTCTCCTCTCTTTCCAGCTGGACCACAAAGAAAGTTGATAATGTGAAGACCTGTAAATCGTAGCTGCCCCTTCTCTCTGGCAGCCCAGGTTCCTGCTTTTTTAGAACCAAGGCTCAGCCACTGAAGACAACCAACCCAGCAGTGGGTTTTTTGCTTGCACAGAAGCAAATGCAAGAGCTGTTAGAGCCCTGGGTGAGACCAAAGCTCGAGGCTGCCAAGAGCTCTCTTTGCAGAGGGACTCTTAGGACCATGCCGCCTCTTCTTCCCAGTCTGCAAGGAGACACAGGGCAGGGAGTGATCCTTAATGATCCCTTTGCCCTGGCTGCAGCACCAGGTCCCCAAGTACGTCCCCAGGAGCTCACTGCCCCGAGGAAGGCAGAGCCCCGCGGGCTGTACAAGGCGAGGAGACGCTGCCCTCCCCGACGGGCAGCGCTGGCGTGGAGATGTCGGGTTCTGGCAAGGCGAGCACGGGGAAAGGGAGGTGACTTTTTCCTCTTGGTTGCTTTGTTCCTTGTTTAGGTAGCGGGTGAAAGAAAGCCTTTGCCGCCTGGGTTAAGGAAATTATTGTTTAGCTGAGAGCTTATGTGTTCTTTTGGGGAAGAAGATTGTGTTTGCCTTTGGCAGGGAGGGGTTATTGTGTAATGGCAGTTCATTTTAATTAGTTGCTTTTCTTTACCTTGGCTTTGTTTAACTAGAGGAGGAATTTCTGAAAGGAGACTTTTTAAAAGAGAGGGAGAAAAACAACAAAACAAAGCCCAGATTTGCCTGGGATTTAGGATCTGTGCTTCTAGCTTGTCCCCGGTGTGTACCCACTTACCAAGAAAAGCTTTTCCCAGAGAGGCAGAGGATGCTGCCTCATCTCTTTCTCTCTCTTGCTACACTCTACATTCACTTTAGGGAACTGAACAAGGGAAGTGTTCTGTATCTCCGTGGTGGGATTAATGGCAATATGGAGATGAGCTGAATGTATAATGGCCAATTTTCCTAGAAGAAGGGGCTTGTTCCAGCAGCAGTTTAGCCCATATGTCTGTGAGGGCTGTAGCATTTTCTTTTTTATGAAAGCACCAAATAATCTTCTAGTTCTGCTGGGATGTGTCATGTAACTGGTGCTACTGTGAGGGTGTTCAGGCTCCTGGTTACGTGACTTTTGTGAGAACTGGACATTAAATGGGAGGTTAGTCTGGGACAGAGGATCATTCCCGTCTCTTCCCTTCACATCCATCCTCTTTAACATGATTTTTTTTTTTCTTGCAGTCTCATGGCAAGGGAGCAGGAGCAGGATTCCCCTCCTTGTCCCCTGGCCCTGTTTCCAGGTGCAGCTGTCCAGTGAGGCTGGGGCAGCGCTGGGGGCAGTGGCTCCCCCCAACATCGCTGCCGCATCCTTCCCTCTGAGCTGGAAGGTGACAGTCATGACAACAGCCGGGGAGCAGGGACAAGCAGCTGGGCTTTGGCAAGTGGCAGGGCAGGGCAGGGGTTGCTTTCATGCAGGCCATAAGGAAAGGAGCTCTCCCAGTACAAAGGGAGTTAAAAATGTCTCCATTAAAGTGCTCCCGGCAGCCCAGAGCTCTCCAGCCCATACCTCTGGGCTGGCGGTGCTTGCAGGCAGCCTGTTGCCCTTGGCGCGGAGCTCGGTGCCTTCTGTCCCCCCTATTCTCTCCGAGGGCACCTCCCCGCTGCTCGGGTCTGAGTGAGCCTGGGGTCACTCCCACCTCAGGCCTCTTTTCCCTTCCCTTTCCAGCTCCTTAAACAACAGAGGTGCTGAGGGAATTTATACCTCTGCCTGGTAACAAGACAGATCAGTGAGACGCTGTCACGGTTTTGTGAGGGCTCCATAGATTTTTACTGGCTTTTCAGTCCTTGGGTTCCCAACCTTCCTTTGGCTTGTAAATTGCCCACAAAATGCAGACACAGCTCCTATTCTGTGAGTTCCTTTGATGATTTTATTTATATCTCTTGCTTTGTCTTGTCTTTTATTACAGGGAGACTGCAATTAATTATTATCCCATCAGCTTCTATTTAGGCTGACAGTACAATGCAACACACAGTGTCCAACCTTCCCCTGCCTCTGTGTGCACAAGCGGACAGCTATTCTGGAGAAGAACAAAGGCGCTGGCAGTTTTAGAAAGGGACATGCTGCTAAAGGGCAGCTTAAGGGAGTTCAATAGCACCAGCAGAGCAGAGTTGTGACCAGGCGTCCTGATTTTAGTTGTGATTTTATCTCCTCATCCAAAGATTGTCCCTCGCTGAGCAAGTGTAGGCTCATGATGGTAATTTCAGGACCCCTTTCCTGTCCAGCCTTTTACACTGGATTCTGTACGGGGAATATCAGTTTTCTCTCCTGGCTGTTCTGCCACTAGAAAACCTGCAAAGCTGTTTTCACTCTCCTTTTTCTTCGGGTCATGCAAAAGGGTTTATTTGTCCTACAGGCCCATGGATGGCATGACACTTGCTGAGCAGTGCTGGCGATGAGCTAAAGATGTTTTGACAAGATTCAGTGAGAGGTGAGTGGAAGCTGCTGTTAAACCAAATGTTTGTTCACTCCTTCTTATTTCTCTCACTGTCTCATTTGTTCATTTATACCTGGTCTTGGTGGTTTTTGGTAGTGTAGCTCTGACTCTGACCTCCTCAGACCAGCAAATGACAACGAAGCAAAGCCTCTGTGCCAACATTCTGGTGGAAAGGTCAATGTAGTGCTTCTGCAGTGGTGTCCTCTCTGCTTCTCCCCAGCAGAGCCCACTCCCAGATCCTTTAGAGGAAGCTGCAAGATAACCCCCATGTGGGCTGTGGTGCCGTAAGTTCAGAGAGACGTTTCTCGCTCCTGTCCTCCACAAATGACATGTGCTCACTAGCCCACACCGCTACCAGCAATTAGCTGGTGTAAGGTTTGCAGTCCAAGCTCATGTAGCTGTGGGGCTCCGTGGGAAACGAAGGGCATGTCTGGGCGGGGAGGCCAGGCAGACTGAGCTGGCTCTGCCATTGCTAACGCCAGAATGGAAGTGCCGGGAACTGCGGGGCTGAGATGCTGACTTGGCTCAAGCTTAGGACTGTCTGCGTTCACCCCACTTAATTAGCCTTCCTGAGAGAGCACATCCACTGGCTTGGGTGCAGTTCTGCTCAGGTGTGCTGATCTGCTCCTGAAAGCGAGCGTGGATGATCTTGCAACCCTGGTCTGTGTTGTGAGAACTTAGCTCGGCTCTGCATTGCTTCAGGTCTCTTTCTCCCATGCTTAGAAGATGAAGCCAAAGGTAAGAGCAGTAACTCTGTGACTGATTCCACATCACCCATTTAGAAACCTTGACTAGGTGGTCAAGTGAGCTGTTCTTCCCTCCTCCACCCCAGCTGCATCCCAGATACAGTCCTACTGACTGTGATTACTGTAATAAAATTGCAACTAAACCCTGTCAGCTCTGAAGCAGGAATGATGAGGGTTGGTCTTTACATCAGACATGTAATTACCTGTCTACAAAACCATGAAAATGTGCAAGGGAAAAAAGAGGGAAAAGCAAGATCTCTGTCAAATGAGAGAAAACCTATCATTTCCCCCTTTTTTTTCTGTTTTGTTTTTGTTTTCCTCCATTCACAGTAATACATAGCTGGGCTTAATCCACCGAGGAACCTGCTCAGAGGTCACACTAAGCTACCTTGTGGCTGCTGGCCCTCCAGCCTGCTCAGAACATAGGGCTTCTTCTTTGAAAACCCTGAGAAACTCAAGTTTGCAAGATTTTAGAATCAGAAAAATCCATTTCCTGCATAAGATCTTTTTTATGGTAAATGAATACTGAACTGCAATCAGAATGCCACTACTGTTTGTTAAATGCAAGTTGCTTAAATAGTTCATTTTTCAGTACTAATTATACAGTACATGGTTAGCTTCAATGATCACATGTAATTAAAGGGGAATGGTTTCTGCAGCATTGTCATGACTTTGACAGTGCTGATCGAGAAGAGGCCAATATTTCCTGGTAGCCTACAGATTATGTGCTAATTAGGGGGTTTACATGGAGCGGCATGTGTATCCTGTGCTTGGAGCCAGACCCTGAACATGCGCAGGATCTGCTGATTTCCTGGAGGTCCTTAGCTTTGACTAAGGTCCCAAGTTATCAAAGCTTCTGCTTAATTTTAAATATGTGCTTAAAACCGTTTGAAGTCAATGGTGCTTAAGTATGTGCTTCAGCTTTAGTCACACACTTGAGAATTTTGCCGAATCGAGGCCACTGGCAAGTTAGGGATAAAGCCTGGCTGGCACCTGTTCTTCCCCAAGGACACATCTTATCCGCTCGATTAACCGATCCAACGGTGCAGGCTTTGAGCACCCCGGTGATTGTCATGGTTAACTTTATTTCATTTAAAACACAATAAGCAAATCCCTAAGAGTTTGAAAAGTTGCTTTTTTTTTTTTTTCCCTAGAAACTAAATGAGAGTATATGTAGGGGGAAAAAATGTCATCTCTGGCCATATTATTTTACTGTGCTAAACAGTGGGGGAAGCCTTACAGAGGGTTGCTGTATGGTGGAAAAGGGTTGGTTTCCTGTGCTTGCTTTAATGCCTGGACCTTTGTTCTACCTCTTAGCTGTGACCATTTAGTAACCACTTGACTCACTTTGCCCTCAGCAGGATGTTGCATGTAGCTTCCCTGTGTTGAAGAACAGTCGAAATTAAAAGTATAATTTAATGATTCAGTTGGTAACAGACAGATTTCCTGATAGCCTGCCTGTGGAGTGGACCTTTGTAAGCACCCTTCTGTCCAGGAGCACTTCCTTAGACAAAATCTAGCTTGGAGGCAGGACGCAGTAAATTCCCAAGTCATCACGTCTGCAGTCTTTAAATCCTGTGTGTTGAATCTCTACTGAATACTCAGCCAACAGCAAACTGAAAGAAAACTCTTTTAATGCAGAGTGGTTTGTACCTTTACTAGGGAAGCAGATTTAGGTATCTTTGGATGGAGGGTCCTGGGAAATACCTGAGTTTGTCTCTTCTCGGAGGAGTTCAGGATTTAAACATACAAAGCAGACTCGAGGTGGACAGGAGGCTGGCTCCCAGAGAAAGGTGACGTGCCTGAAGGAGGCACAAGGGGCCACTAGCACAGCTGGGATTACACCCCTGGCCCCTGAGCAGTGCCTGTGCACTGCAACAGCAGAAATCCTTGCGGGCTTTGCTCGTTGTGGTTTGACAACTGCATTCAGATGTGGAGGAAATTATTATCTGCAAGCTGTTGTGATGGGTAAAGAAAGTGTAAGAAGCAATTTTGTGTACCCAGAAGAACTGAGAAAGCCTCCTGAGCTTCCCTGCAGCTCAGGAGGAAGGAGGTGCCTGGGGGAGGCAGGCAGCTGAAGCCATGGGCTGGGGCAGAAAAAGAAGAGGAAGCGTGTTGTGGCTGAATGTGTCGGTGGAGTTTATTTCTCTGGACTTCAGCCCTGTTCCTGCAAGGAAATGTTTCCTACCAAAAACCCAAGCAATTCCCTTGAAAGCCCTGTTTCGGCAGACAGAGATCTCTCAACATGATTGCAGTGTCCAGCTACAGGTCCCAACCAGACAGTGGAGCAAGGGAAGTGGAGGTTTCAGTTTGAGAGAAAATTCTCTGTTGCCCTGGGGAAAGAGCAACAGGTCTTTCTGCTTGGTCTACAAAAACAGATTCATTGGACCTGACTCTCCTGTTAGGCAGGGATAGGATAAGAAATGATGGATTTGAATTGTGTAGGTTACATGTCAGGAAATTCTTCCTGCAGTGAGGATAGTTTATGGAAAAGCCTTTTTTAATTTTTTTTAATGGTTTTGTTTGATGTAGAAGGCAATGCAGTGGTTGGGAGCTACCAAGGTAGACCTTACTGGTGTTCCTGCTTCATCAGAGACTGTAGAAAATCAGATCAGATGAAATCCCATTTTGAGTGTCTCATACCAGGCTTAATTCTTTCTGCTGAGGCTCTCTGTGAAAGAAGTCAAGTGTCCTTGAGTATAGCAGCCCTCTCTGGAGAGACAATTCTTTTGTACTTCCAATTGTACTGTCTGGCTCTCTGAATCTGGCCCATTCCCAAAATGATGCAAAAATGTGTACGCTCCACCCCAGCAGAATTAATAACAGGAGGCAAAGATTCAAGGAGAACATTGTTCTTAGGAAAGCCTTTTGGTAGCCTTCATTTACAGCTAGTTTGTAGCTGTTTTTTTAAAAAGAATAAATGTACTGTGATGGGAGTGAGTCAGCATGGATATATTGCAGGTAAATCATGTCAGACTAATTTGATCGCTTATGCTAATGAAATAACTATCAGTCTAGATAGCATAAATCTATCTGGTTTTCCAGAAGGTTTTAACAAAATTTTGCAGTGATGGATTATGGTACAACCCCCCTAAATGTAGGTTAAAATAATCCATTACTGAAAAGGATAAAATACTGGCAGGAAGGCAGAGCCGCGGCTTGGAGTGAAAGGTGGGTGTCAATGGGGAGGTGGCAGAGGCATTGAGTCCTGCAAAATCTTCTGCTGCAGTGTCTTAATATTTTTATTAAAGATGAATGCAACACCACAACAAGTAGGATCATTAAATTTCAGACGACGCAAAGCTCAAGGGATCAGGCAAGCCTCAACGGTCTTTCTATTCAGAGAAATTGCTTTTTGGCAGTATTATCTTGCTAAATTATGTAAGTGGGCTGAAAATTGCAATGTGATTTTGACTGGTCCAAGATCCTTCCGTGACAATTACAGTACCTTTGACAGAGAACTGGAGGTGTGACCTGGACTGCAGTCTTGTCAGTGGAGACGGGCAGTTTATACCACAAGGTCTGCTGGAGGTATGGGGTGAGGAATGACCCGCAGGAGGAGTGAGAGAGATTTTTCCTTCATTTCTGGATTTTTGAGCCCTTTATACACTCTTGGTGTAAACATTTGCACAGCAGCATTTTGATAGAAAGTTCTGTAACAAATAATACAGTTGATGGAACATATTATTGTTGTATATAAAATATATATTGGGTTTGGCCATGCTTTATTATAGTATATAAAATATGTATTCTGTTTGTAGCTGATGTAGCAATTATATCAGAGAATTTATATTGGTGTGTGAGCAAGGACTAACCTAAGCATGCAGCTGTTCCTGATTACCTGCAGATAAAGGAGGGGGAACTGGATAGGAACAAAACACTCCTGTTCTCATGCAGGCACGTTCACATGCTGAAGAGTTAACCAGAAAGAGATGCTACACTTCTAGTCCCTAGCCTGTTATAGCACACAGCGATGTGGAAGTGTAGCTGTGCCTCTGTGTATGGTTAACTCTAACAGTTTTATTCCTGTCACGACCCTCATCTGAGCTATTGAACACCATGCTCGTCTGGGTCTCTGCTTTTAGGTGCTCTTCGTTACACAATATCTCGGCAGCACCATGCCAGTCCGGGCAAGAAAGGCGCTTCCTGCGCTTCAGCCTGCCGCATCGCTCCCACCGAGCGTGAGACAGCTGAGCTGTCCAGCAGACAATGCTCAAGGCTTTCCAGCAGCTTTCTGACCAGTTTTTTGAGGGTAATGCGATGCCTCTGCTGCTCTGCTGATGGTGCTACTCACGCTCATCTTCCTGCCACTCTGTGGAAAAAAAGTTCAGTCTTTGGAAGACGTATGATAAGCAGAGGCTCATTTGTTGCATGGGGTTCTGAGGAAGGGAAGAGTGAAAATACAGGAGAGTGGTTTTTCCCCTATTTCAGTCTCTGATTTAAATCAGCTTCTGAGGCAGCATTCATTTCTGGGAGAAGAGTGATGGTTTTGGATTGAGATTCCTGCAGTAGGACCAATCTTTTGGGGGTAGCCACCACCTGCATTTCTGAGCTGGCGTAGTTGTTAAAAGGTGACCAGTTACACTGACAGTACACCCAGGTGCCGTGTTCCTGGTTTCTCCGCCACTGAGAAGCTGAGCCACAAATCTCCAGACATCTGTTATCATTAACAGAAGGGCAAAAATATTAAAATGTAAACCATAAAATAAATCTGTTGAATAAATCAAAGATAGAACTGAAGGAGAAATATGAAATCCCTGTGTAGCTGGCATAACTCATTCTCGCCGACAGTTCAAAATCAACCGTAGCAGGAGAATTTAATGATACCATTGTTTAGTGAAATTAGACATGACACTAGCCAGTTACCTTTTATTTTGGTTGGTTAGGATTTGCTATTGTTTGACACTCATTAGAAATCACAGTAACCTGTTTTTAGGGCAGGCAAATTAAGATTCCCTCTCTCTGTACAAGATTACTCATCATACCACAGCTACATGGTAATTGGAAAATAACTAGTGGATGAGTACGCCTTACACAACCTGTCATCTGAGCACGTCAGGTAACGTACCAGAGGTGATCCTGCGAAGAATTTGGTTGTACACACAACAGCTAAGAAAAAAACTAATGCGGGAGATTAACGCTACAATCACTTATCAGATGCAGAAATAATTATTAATCCTTAATGACGCCTGTAATTTCTTTATGGAAATTCACCTGCCCTTCTGTTTCCTTCAGTGCCTCCAGCATGAGAACACTTGTTTTTCAACCTGAACCTCAGCCCTGGCTTTTCTTTAGTCTAGGAATTACTGTGAGTGAGTTTAAGAAGCCCTAGGGTTTGCTGTGCCAAGCCAGACTTCCATGAAGACCTGTGAACTTGCTACGCTTGCAAGCAAACAGGGTGAGCTGCTAGCTCCAGGTGTGTTTATTGCCTTCTGTCTCCTGCCAGAGGAAACCTTGCTTAGCTAAACCATGTAGAGTGGGGGAAAAATTAAGGGGACATGTACTACAAAGCATCTTTAAGTCTTGCAGGAGATGAGCAAATGCAGGGAGAGGTATAATAGCAGTCGTACTTGCATTAGCAAGCAGCAAGGTGCAGTAAGAGCAGCTTTGGGGAATGAAACATTTGGTGCTGGTCCACTACGTGCATTCTGGGTGATTCATCTGGGATAGTTCTAATCTGGCCCCGTGGCTTGGAATACGCAGTAGCACTGGGACATGTTAGGTGAGCTTCTGGAGCACACTTTGCCATTTAGTTTTGGCTGAAAGGAATCCAGTTCTGCAGGGTGGACCAAAGTGCAGTAAGGTCATCTCAGAAGAGCTGTCCTAGTCCAAAATAAGACAAATGCCAATACAGCTGTAGAAGAGTCTGTAGAAGAGTCTTCAGGAAGCCAGTCAAACCAGCCTCCCATTCCTGGAAGTGTTTAAGGAAAGACGATCTGAACATGCACAGCCTGTTTTGTTGTTTTTATGCCATGTTCACTCTGCAATGCTTTTGTTCTAGGGAAGCAATACTTTGCAATCAGGAAGTTGCTTGTTTTGTGATTAGCATTGCTGCTTCACCAGAGGGAAGGGACGGCACTGTCTGGACAGATTTTGGATCTGCTGAGAGCATTTGCTTCTGGTACTCCACCCAAGATCCAGTCTACAACTGGAAAAGTTGCCTGATTCCCACGGGTGACTTTGGATTTAGGAGCCAAGAGATGTGTGGGGCACCATGTCAGGTGAGGCTGGTCCACAATGTAGTTCACCCAGTAGCTGTGACAAGAGTTTCCAGTCTCAGTTTGGCAGGAAGACGTGCAGGTAAGATTAGCATTATCAGTTTATTCTCTGCAATGCATTCATTTGTTTCAAACTGGAAAACACACTCCTTGCATCACCGTGCTCAGCTCTACGTGTTGCCTGCATATTCAAACAGAAGATGAATTTTCACTTTTGATAGTTCAGCTTACAAAACGAAGAGAGAGAGGGAAGAAAGACCCTTCTGCATCGGTGTGATGATTATCATAGAATCATAGAATCATAGAATATCCTGAGTTGGAAGGGACCCTTAAGGATCATCAAGTCCAACTCTTGACACCGCACAGGTCTACCCAAAAGTTCAGACCATGTGACTAAGTGCACAGTCCAATCTCTTCTTAGATTCAGACAGGCTCGATTGATCACTTTTTATTTTTGCTCAGATGCCAGGTCTAGATTTGCAATGGAAAAGCAATGCACTGTTTCACACAGATACTTCAGGAGGGGGCCCTGAAGGAGGAATGCAGAGTGCTGTAAGACGGGGCTGAAGAGATCAGACAGGAACCAGGAGAACAAAAGCCGCCACTGTTGGAGATCTGGGAGCTGGTGCTGGATGAAGCGAGGCCTCCCGCTGTTTGCTGCTCACTGTTGCTGTGGCCAGGCTGGCATCGCTGTGCAAGGGGAAATGCAGGCGAAGAGCTAATCTATTGAAACAGAAGGACAGACTTAGCTTGAGAAGATGAGCATGCTGAGCTGGTTTCTGCTCTGTTACACCCTGAAACCTCACTGATATCTGTAGAGTTCCCCAGCTGTAACGAGGAGCGGACGGGGGTTCTTTATGCATTTTCTCCAGAGCCAGACTGGTGAGGATTTGGTGAGGACTGGAGAAACTGATACTGAGATTTGCAGCTCTGCAGGAGGGAATCTGTTTGCTTAATTTGGGAAGAGACAGTCATATAACTTACAGTGTGTAAAGCTTAAGCAGTGGAAGTGTCCCCCAGAGCACAGTGCAGAGTTCGAGGCAGCTAGGAAAAGTCTTTCAGGCTGCCTGAGTCTTTCCACAATGCTTCCTCCAAGTAGTCACAGGGAAACGCCTGCTCCGAACAGCTTGAGCAAGAACTCAGCTCTGGGACCAGCTGGGCTTACGACAGCCTTGTTTTGTCTTACAGCCGGTGTAATTTCTCCCAGAAGGTGAATGAAAGCGTGGCTTCTGAAACACAGCTAATCCCATAATTTCACCTAGTTCCCTGGCAAATGCTTCCAGTACTGAATGGCTTCCGCTGCTGTGTATGTCTCGTTTCAAGGTTAAATTTCTAATTTCCAGCTTTTGCCGTTGTCTTAAGAGAGGCACCGTGGTATCCCAAAGCCCTCTCCCACAATTGCCTTCCCCTGTATCGGTGCCAGGAGCAGCAATGAGATCCCTTCTCAGTCCCATCTTCGGTAAGCCAACAGGCCTGGGCTCCTTCGGAAACATGCAGGACCCAGCTGCTGGGTCTTTTTGTGTTGCTTTGCCTGAATTGCTTCTGTGTTTTCTCTTTCTCCTTGAAGGGAAGAACACAGGCTGGGCACAGCTTCCCAGCAGATTGTCACTGGTGCCACAAATGAGAAGGATCACCCCCTGCTGGGGTCTGTGATTGCCCTTTCTGAACACGGAGGGATCAGAGATGTCCCTTATGGCAGCTTGCACCGCAGCTGGGGCTAAAGCAGAGCTCTGAGATGTCCTCTAAGTCCTTTTCAAAGCAACTGCTTTCCGAGGCAGCATTCTGTAAGTGTAACCTGCATTTCTGGTTTCAGATGCCTTACTTTGCATTTGACTTTTTAAATCATATTTCACTGGAGTGTGGCCAACTCCCAGTTGCTTCAGATCGCTGAGTATTGATAGTCCAGCCTTGCTTGTTGTTTCCCTACCGCTGGTCTTGTTGGCATCTGCAAACTTTGCCACAACAAGGATTTTTATAGCGTCATTTAGATCGTTGATAAAAATACCGAATAAAAAACGGTAATAGGAGTTTCACTCTTCTTTCACCCCAAATATTTTTGCCCAACATACATGTAATATTGCTGTACGTTTATTGAATTGTGGCTATTGGAACAGCCAGTAAATATGCCTTTGAAGAATAGCCAGTTTCCAGAAATGCTTTCCACCTTAAATGTGTATTCCCAGTCCATTATGCCGACAAGTGAGGTTAAGGCTTGGGAAAACAGAAATGTTAAATGCAAAGGTGTGTGCGTCACTGCCTGGTGCCAGATTGTTTGCACAAGTGTAACCAGATCGTGCCCCGAGGTATCTAGGCAACTTGCCAGGTTTTAGATCAGCAATTAACTCTTCTTTGGCTTTCAGAGGTCCAGTAGAAGGTTTTCCCATGAAACCAACCTCAGTAATGCAGCTTTGCTTCCTGCCATCCTGGGGAGGAGGAAGGACTGACAGCCATGCTGGCCCTTCTCCTTGGGGTTGTGCCCACCTTGTCAAACCGTGTTCATGCACATTTTGAATGTTTCTTTTCCTGTAGAGAGGCCAGTGTGGAGCCAGTGACGGTTATCAACCTGGATCTTGGTGGGGAACAGGGCTGCTCTGATTGCTGTGGAGTGAGCTGGATCCACAAGCTTATCCAGAGCCAGGTGAGGTAGGTGCCAGTGTTCCCAGCAGTACAGGACCTGTTGAAGGCTGGCTCTGAAACTAAGGGAGTTTCAGGCTGTGCAAGAATTGTTAATGGGGAAAGCACTGACACGGCATAAAGATACCCTTGTCTGAGCTCTTCAGGGTGTTCAGGACCTCTGGGGAATGCAGCCCAGGAGCTTGTTTAGATCCCAGGTTTTGAGGGTTTCAAACCAATGAATTTGTTTCTATCTCTTTTCACCTCCTAAACCAAATTCAAAGCAGCTACCACCTGACTGTGGGAGGTGTTGGTGTGGTAGGAGTTTGTACCTTCTGCAGAGCTTCCTGAGAGAGGGGTCACTGCTGCACATGGGGACAAAGGCAGCTCTTCTGACAGGGGCTGTGTAGCAGAGCTCTTTACACAAATGACATCTCAAAGTCTCAGAACTGCTCAGAGTGCCCCAGCCAAATATCCCCAGGCTGGTACAGCAGAGCACAAAGGAAATCATTGATATTCAGAACTCGATCTTTAGCTACACAGGACCTGAAAGCACAGGCACGTTTGTACCTCTGGGGAGAGGTGCGAGGAAGTGGGGCAGCCTTTGACATGGTAACAGGAGCTCTCACTTGCAGAGCTAGAGGCAGAATAGTTGTCATTAAAAGAAGGTGATGTGGCCTTCGTGGAGACATGTGAGTTGCTCTGGTTCGCAGACCCCTGGGTCTTGAGCCCTGAGCCAGTGGGGCTGGCTTGGCACGAGGCCCTCTGAAGGAGGGCTGCGGCTGGGGAGCTCTGGCACTGCCACTGGGAGAAGGTCGTGCAAAATGAATGAAAGGTCCTCCCTTTGACAGGAATCAAGGAATACTTCTGACTGTACACCAGTACCATCCAGCTGCTTGATTTACAACCGATTGCTCGTGGCGTGCAGGCAGGAGAAATTGAGAAGGGAAAGCTCCCTCTGCATTCAGCTCAGTGCAGCCTGGGAAAGCTTTGTGCAGCCTACCCCCCACCTCTGTCTGCTTTTCATTATTATTTTTTATAGCCAGAAATAAGAACTTTATTGACTTTATTCATCTCCTGTCAGATGCCCAATCAACATCTGGCAACACAGCAATTCCCAGAAAGTGCTGACCTAGTGGAGCAGGACCTCAGGGAAGGTCCTTAATCCCCCCTCCCATCCCTGGCTGCCCTTTTAATTCTCTTCCCAAGCCAAGGTAGGATGCGTACCTCCACCTCGCTCCTGCTGCCTGCTTGTGTTTCAGAGCACCAGGGTCATGGGAGCTCTGGATGTGATGCTCTCGTTGGGCTTGGGGTCCCTGGCAGGCTTACGGGAGGTACCAGCACCGGGGGAAATCTGCCTTCCTCTGGTGGTCCTTAGAACAGACTTCTTGTGGGTTTGTTTCTTCCTTTAAAAACAAACAAACAAAAAAAAAACAAAAGGCAAAAGAATCTCAGTGCTGGTTTCTAGCCAGGTGTTCCTAGGTGTGCTGGCTGCCTTGTCCAGGGAACATTTAAGCTTTTCTGTTCTAACAGCCCACAGACAGCCTACTGTGAGTGTCCCTGGAGAGCTGTAGCATACCACTCCCAGAGTTTATATCCATCCCTGAGCTTCTCCCAGCTTGCTTTCCATGCAGGTTAGCTGTCAGACCTGTAGAAGCACTAAGGAATGGGGAACAAAACAGATCAGAGGCCACGCAGGCAGCCGAAACTCTAGCAAAGGAGGGTGACTGGGGAAGCAGCCTTGGGCACCCCCTCGAAGAGGTGCTGCGAATCTCAGCAGATCTGATCGTGGCCGTGGTTGCAAGGCTCCTGAGAAAGCATCTAGGGCATGGAGGACAGGGACAGGAGGAGCTGTGTGGGAGCTGGGCTGTCCTGACAACACTGCTGGGTCCTGGAGAACTGGCAGGGAGGGACTGCGCCCCTCAGGGAGGAGAGGAGACAAAGGGAGCAGAAAGTTGCAGTGGGCCACGAGCAGTGCCTGGGTAGCATAACAGAGGTGCATGGGGCAGGGCAGAGAGGAGCTCAGCTCTCCCTCCTCTGTGCGCTTTTGTTTGGCTTTGCAGAGGACCCAGAACCTCTGTGTAAAAATGCAGGGGTCCCTCCGGAAGGGTTTCTGATAGTAATTCGTGCAGGTTAGAGGATTTCAAGATCTAGCAGCAGATTGACTAGAGAGGAACACATTTTTATTTACTGCGGCGTGTTGGGCTCACAATCAAATCCAGGTGTAAGAAGCCAGAGGCAAGTTGTGTTCTATGTGCGCAGCTGCTCCAGCAGGTCCAGCAGGTTCCCTGCCCGATCCCTGGGCTCCCACAGCAGATCTCTTGAGCCCCCTTTTCCCACACGGTCCCGCCCTGATTTCTCCCTCAGGTGTGGGTGGCTTGCTTTGCTTTGCTGCTCTGTGGTACCGGCCTTTCCACGTCTTGGCTTTTCTTTGCTCCCTATCTCCTAGATTCCAGCTCCATGCAGTCCCTCAGGACAGTTCCTCCTTCTCTGCTTGGGTCTTCTCCCCACGTTTTGGTCTTTTTCCTTCTTCCACCTCTATGGGAAGTTCCCTCCCATTGCTGTGGGTTCCCAATTTCTCCTAAGCAGCCAGGACAGACAGGGGAATATTTTTTTCCCTTCTACTGCCTGAGCCCAGCTGGGCCAGCTCCTGGGCTGCTCTCCTTGGAGTCAGAAACCTTGCTGAGAACCCAGGACACCAACCCCTGCAGCCTTCATCCACATCGAGTGCCTGCAGCCTGCTCCCTTCCTGGCCAGTTTTGGAGCATGCTGTCCCATCAAGCCCCATCAGGTCCCTGCAGCTGGGTAGCTTTGCTTGTCCTCGGCTCCAAGAGACACGGATCCTTTAGAGAAGGGGTCCCGGCCGTGCTGCGTGATCAGGTGCCCACTCATGTGAGCAAATGCCACCAGTGGGAGCCGAGGCATTGCAATCCAGCCCACAATGCTCCTTTAAAGACATTTCAGCAGCTCAATTAACTTTCCACTTGGGTGTTTTCTTTTTCCCCCCTTTGCTTTCATGGTCATTTAAAACAAATAAAGTGAGCAGAACATGGCAGCGTGATAACCACCATTTAATTCCCTTCCCACGGGTCTCCAGATTATTTGGTGATTCAGCGGCAGCAGGGGGAACATTTACGGAAAGGGAGGAGGGAGCTTCCCACAGGGACAACAGCTCACAAAACAGGGCCCCTGAGCATCTCGGAGGAAAAACGTGCCTCTGGTTTCCTTTGAAATGCCATGGATATGGTGAATGCAGTGCGAGAGCCCGGGCCTTGGAACAGAAGCAGCCACCCGCTCCCCCACTTTTGTGGCATTCCCGTTCTCATTCCATGTCTCACTGCCCTCGTTGTTCTCACATTGTGAAGTGTGGGTGACGACCAATGTTCAGGATACATTTCACGCTTCTGTGCAAACACAATATGAGATGAAGAATTCATACCCTTAGACAAGGAGATGAGAGTGTATTTTCTCATAATAAGGAAAAGCAGCCAGATTGGAGCCTGCCAATTTCTCTTCAGTGCTCCCGACTTCCCTAGGAAGTTCAAACAAGCCTATGCTTTTAAGCTGGCAGAGGGAAGTAAATTATATTAAAAAAAAAAAAAAAGAGAGACCAACAAAAACAAGCAACACAAATCCTTTTGGATCTTTTTTACATTATTCTCTGAGTCTCTGCCTTGGTAGGTGACTTTTCCAGCTCCCCCATTTGATCTGCTGGGACCGCAGTGGTGGGGAGGGAGGATGCCGGGTGCTTTCTGTGCGTGCGAGCAATTAATAGTGGTGCAGCGTTTCACTGGAGCAGCATGTAAAGCGCACCCCAGGAGGGGAAAAAATAACAACTAACCAGACTCTTAAGCAGGCCAGAGCATTTGCTGTCCTGTAGGAAAACACAGTGTGGGGGTTTGCTTATTCATCAGCAGCTGTAAATAACGGGTGCTCACCTTGAGTTCTCCTTCAGCTATTTCTTTATCTCCCCAGCCTCTGTGCTAGCAAAGAAAGGAAATATTTACTGTAGTTTGGTTGACAAACTGTGTTTTTATAGCTGTTCAAATTTTAGCTTGTGTTTTCTCCCTAAAAAGCAGTGTTTTCGCAGCTTTGGCTTCATCTCCCCCAGCCTCAAGAGCCTCTGTCTGGAGCGCCTTCTGCCAGTCTGACACTGAAAATTAGTCCTGAACCATTTGCCTGAACCTGTCAACCCCACATCATAGCCACACATTGTGTATGCAGGTGGTTTGGCCTGGGAAGGACGCATAATGCACGTTAGTCATTTAATACATTTAAAATCTAATCTCTCAGCGCAGCACAGTCAGCAGCTTTTCTGCTTTTTACCCCTTGTGCAGTACGCTGAGACGCGTTTCCATCCCTGTGCTGTCCTGTGCCCGTGCCAGGGAAGACATCAGCTCGCCCAGCACCGGGCTGGAAGGATCCAAATTCCCTGCAGCAAAGGCCACAGGGGCCTCAGCTCCCCCGTGCTCCCCTCTGCCTACCCTGTGCCTGCCCTGGGAGCCCCTGGAGCCCCCGGTTTCTTCGTGGGCACAAGGAGGTCAGGCACCAGAGTGTCTGCTGACAGCTCCAGCAGTATCAGGAGTCTCAGGGCATGTGCCTGGCTTCGAAGGTTCACAACATCCCTTCCTTTCATCCACACGTCAGGGCTTTGGGTCGATCTCGCTCAAACTGAATCTGAGCCTGGAGACCCCGAGGTTACCGAGCGTTTCCCCCCAGCCATCTGCACTCGAGAGCCCTCCCATCTTCTGTAATTTCCCAGGGAGGTCGAGGCAGGCTGGGCAGCAGGATTTGGAGACTGCCGTGCACCTTGGCAGTCCCAACAGGCCATGAGTAGCCAATACCTGCTGCGGCGTGTTGGCCAGCAGAGCTGCAGCTGCTGGATTCCCCAAACCTGTGCTTTACCTAATGTCCTCAGACTGTTCCTGAATTAAAATGATCCAGGAAATGCATTTTCAGACTGTCAGTGAAATGCATTCATCACCCCCCTGAATATGCACCAGATTGTTAATGCTTGAGGCCAAATACCATGTCTTTTTTAATGCCTACAAATGTAGTGCATGTTGCTGCCTCTATATTTATAATAATTATAAAGGTAACGGGAGTAGCAGCATTCCTATAGGCTAGACACGGCCAGGCACAGACAAAAAAAAAAAAAAAAAGAGTGATTCATTGTTGCAATTAATGCTTATGCTTGCACCTGTGATTAATTAGCCTGGCGATAGTGCTATGCAAAAGATCAGGGTGAGAATTAATAAGGAGACAAGTGCCGACTGTTAAGATGGTGAGACTACTGCTTAGTGCTCCGTCCCTGGGCTGCCCGCTCCTGTTTAGTTACAGGCACTGGCACAGCCTTGCTGTGCACCACTAGACCCTCAGGCGGGGTGTGCAGAATATTTATATATCAGTGTTCTGTAGCAAACTTCAAAATTAAATTCACATGCAGGTCTCTAAATATAATTCCGAAATGTCAGAGATGCTCAGAAGAATGCTGGCACTGACGAGATTGCTGTCAGGAGCAGGCAGCAGCGTGCCAGATTTATGCTGGTCTCGATATGCAGGTGACTTCTCAGCTTTTGTGTCTGGTGGAGCCTACAATGCTCCGATGGACATACTTCAGCTGGCGGAAGGCAGAGAGACAAAGAGGAACGTGTGCTGGACATCCCTACTCCTGCAGGTGCCTGTTGCTCACCTCTGCATCCAGCGGATGTGCTTTGATTAATGCTGTTTTAATTGCAGGGCTCGCTGGCGCTGCGCAGGGATTGGGAGGGTAACGCTGCAAAGCTGGCCCAAAGCGTGCGCCCTGTTAGCACAACGCCGTGCCCGGGGAGGGTACGGAGGGGAGCGTTGACAACTGGAGCCCGATCAGATGCCAGCGGGGAGCAGAAGGGCAGCAGAAGGGGTTCTTGAGATCTGCCCAGGCAAAAGATCTCTGCAGAAGGGGCTGTAGCACCTTGCCCGGAGCGTGAAGTCAGCTGCAGTTTGTCTTCAATGACCTTTTGCTGACTTCCATCTTGCAAGGTATTTCTCCCTTTTCCTCCCATCCTCCCTTCCCTTCCTGTGTAGCCCTCTGAGAGAAAACAGCTTTTCTCCTTTTTAATAGGTGGCTTTGACGGGCGAGATGGAGCAGGGGCAAATCCCGTGAGCCTGCGAGTTCCCATGAAGCACAAGCTGCTCCGAAGAACCCGCTCCTTAAGGTGAGCTACGCTGGCAAAGTTTCTTCTGCAGGTTTTATCCATCACTCCTACTGGCTCATTATCTTTCCCGTCGGCGTATTTGCGCCTCCCACCCCCCCAGTTCATTTTTCCCAGTTGCAGCAGCTATTGACTGGTTTATATAGATGGGGTTTAACCGGTCCTCCCTCCGGCTGCTCCTGAATCGCTGACGAGGCCGCTTTTGTCTGTTCACACATCAATCTGAAAGCACATGCAAAGTTATATCTTGGCTGACTTAATTGTTAGGAGCTGCAACCCCAATGTCTTTGTAAATAAAATGGTTTAATCTCATGGGGCATGCCTGGTGGAGAGAGCCGAATAAATACATCAATATGTAAATAGATCCACAAGAGGAGGATGAACTGGGACTTTGCAAAACTGATAAAGCATCTTAGGAGACGTGTTGTCACTGCACTTCTTGCATATTCTGATTAAGCAGACAGGAATGCTGGATCTCAGCCCTGGGTTGCGGGAGAGGAAGGGAGGGAGGGAGGAAGTGTGGGCACGAGCACACCGTGACTGAAATTCTTGTATGGATTGATTTGACTTGAATATATTCCGGGGCTGGTCTAATTGCTAGTTTAGTCTCAGGCTTTGATTTTCCTGTTCCTTTCACGTCGCTGCTGCCGAGTCTTCCCTGCATCTCAAGCAGCCGTGTTGGGGGCAGCATCCAGACCAAACCCAACCTCTGTTAGAGCAGAACAGCAAACACCTGCCCTTCCTCAGTCCTTCCTCAAAACGTTTGCAGCAAAGTGTGGCACGAAAGTCGGACTTGTGCTGCGTAGGCGTGTGCCTGTGTAACGGCAGTTGGGGCTTATTCCGAAAAACAAAACCTGAAGAATTTGGGACACACTGTTTGTGATGGGCCCCGCTGCCCTGTCCCTCAGCAGGGATCTTCTTAGTGAGAGTTCAGTGAAACACAAACGGGAGAAGGTGCCGAGGCCAACTCGTTGATGCTGACACGGGGCCTGCAGGATCCTGCCTGCTGCAGGATTCCCTGTGAGGCCAGCCCGATGTTTCTGCTGCTTTGCATCACCCTTGTGCTCCCACCACACGGGTGGGAATAGAGGCACCAGGCAGGGAACCCCACTGGGTGCTCGGTTCACAAGCAGCAGCCGTGGGGCAGGCAGAAACGTGTCGCACACCTCGGGCACCCGGGTGCTTTTGGACGGATTTCCAGGGAGAGGAGAGGAGGAGAAACTCCCGCCGCGTTGTCTGGGGCTGCCTCCCCTTCTGCGGGCTGAGCTCCAGCCCTTGTTTTGCAGCGCGCCACGTGGAATTTTATCACCTTCAACAATGAAATCTGTCACCTTCAAGCTGCTTTATTGTAATCTGGGGACTCGCGCCCTGCCCGCTGGAAGCCTGTGCTGGGCTCCCACGGCAGCGCGCTGCGGTGCTCCCCACGCCATCGCCAACATCGATCGATCGGCTCCTCGCTGCAACCAACGGCGTTAACTTTAGGGACCACATTTGTACTTGTTTTCTCACCGGGATCGGATCGTTAATTGATCTTCCTCTTTCCCTTTGCCTCCCTTCTCTCTTGTGTGCATCTCAATCCTCTTCTTCTGGCGGCTGCTTCACCCCCCTCCCTGCCCCCTTCCCATTTGGAGAACAGAAGCCAATCAGACGTGCGGTGTAGGCAGCATTCAGGAGCTTTCCTGATCTGATATTTTAAAGAATGTGATGTACAAATGCATCCCTTAAATGATGATACCTCTATGTTGCATTGGTTATAAAAATACACACGTTGGAGTCAGATTAACCAGCATATTCTATCTTTCAGAAAGCAATTTAACAATGATCTCAGGGCATGGTACTTCAGCAGCAGATACAGCTTGTGGATCACAGCTCCTGAACTGTGTTGTGGGTGGCTTTTTTCTGGACAGTTTGGGAGCCCTGCTCAGGCAGGGGGAGATAAATTGACCCTATTCGTCTGCTTACCAGACGTATTACCGTATATGTTAGGATCAGAATATTTCTGTTTGCTGGTTTTCTGTAGCTTTTATTGTAGAAGCATTTTTGTTTTAGAGAGTCAGTCGTTTTCCTTTGAAATGCAGTTATGTACATTTGCATGCACATTTATATGGGCTAATTAAAAACTTACCGTCAGAGTTGCTTTTCTGCTAACGATCACTGTACAGCAAAATGGTTGTTGCTTTTTGGAAATGTCTGCTTTGATGCAGAAATCTGAACATTTTAAGAAATCACTCGGTCAAATCTTTGGGATTTATGTTTTCAATGAATAATCAATTTTGCAACAAAAGATTTAAACAAAAAAGGGTGTTCATTGAAGTTTTTCTGCAGGAAGAAATCGATAGCATGTATTATTAAATCTAAAGAGGCTCATGTCCTGAGTTTTATCATGCCACATCTTATAATAGCCCTTCAGAAGCTTGAAATGGGATTTTTTTTTTTTTTTCACTGAACAAAACGTTGCATTCCCCCTGCCACATTTATTGGAGGCAGCATATTGAAAGGTGCCTGCACCCAGCAGTTCGGGCCTGGAGGGCTGCTCTCATCAGTCTCCGTCAGTGACATGAGTTATTTCATAAGCCGTGGAAGTAATTATTTCAAAAGTGGATGTGCTGGGGATGACAGCAACAGCAGAGGTGTGAGCACCAGCCAAGGGGGCAGTGTGCTTTCTCGGTGGCCTCCAAGGATTTCCAGTGCCACCAGCAAGGAGCCAAGGAAAAAATCCCATTGCTCTGCTTCCTTTGAATTGCTGGATTTGCCAGAAGTGGGACTCACAGGCCAGTGCCCCAAAGGATCACTTTGGCTGCCGGGCAGGGTGAGGATAAAGCAGTCGCGCTTCAGTTGTGTTTTCATTCCCCATGGCCAAGTTCCAGTATGTAAAATGGAATTATCAGAACCGAAATGCAGTTGGGTCTTGCCTCTGCTGACCTTCAGCAGCTGCTGAGCTGTTGAGCTCTGGGGTACCGAAGTGTCGGTCTACTTCTCCTGTCCTCAGCCCATCCGAAGCAGAGACTGACGTACCCAGACATGGAGATGTTGTGACGAGCCAAAGGGAACCTTTCCCTCAGCACATACAAATAAGTTTTGCAACGCAAAAATAAGCAGCGATGCAGATGATGTACTCTTTTTTTTCCTCTTTGCTTTAGGAGAACTGGAAGAGGCAAGGAAGGAATGGCTCTTTGTCCCACCGAGGGCGTTTTCCACGATTCCTGCTGGGACCACTCGCTGGATGTTCTTTAGGTAGCAGCTCTTTTGATTTCCTGGCCACCTTGCAAGTCACACTGAGGTGCCTGGAGAAGAATTTGGTGACTGCTTATGAAATCCATTCTCCCTTGAGGATCTGCTCTTTCCACTTTGATAAACTTTTAATTCTTGCTTTCTAATAACACTGAGGGACTGTTCTGGGGGCCTGGCTTTATGAAGGACTTGTGATTGATGTTCATCTGTGCTTGCAGGAGACCAGTAACCTCACTTTATTTTTGACAGAACATCAGGACAAGCACTCTGTGTCCTTCTCCCTTCTTGGTTACTTCTAAATGAAAGAGAAAGTAGAGCAGCTATCATCTGTCCAGGTCTGTCAGTTTGGCTCACTTGTACTCTCTCACCATATCACTAAACTTCTGACGCTCTTTCTGTCCAGCATGGCACACAGGCACGTGTTTAAAGGACACGGTCAGCTTATTTTTAATACTGCTCTGTTATCTTGTTTTTATTCTCGGTTCTGTACACTCGTGCCTGGGATGTTTGGAAGTAACTGCTGTAACTTCGTGTGGGAGTAGGTTGCTTAGCTGTTACCTCACAGACAATGTAAATTTAGAGCAGATAAGGCTTGGACCCCAAACGCCTTTTTTAACCCATTGCTGTCTTTTTCCAATTCCATTCCCTCTGCCCTCTCTGATCTATTTCTAGCAGTTTTGAGATAAACATGGCTCCTGTTTTATGCTTAAACTGACCTCTCCTGTAACACCACAGCAGTTTGTAGGTGGCCAATAGAGAGATCTTGCACTTATACAGATGCATATATGCCCCCCCAACACGTATCCACCACTGGTGAGGGATTTGTTGGTATAAGAAATCCTGGAGGAAAATGCCCACAATGATGAATTCACAGAAAATACAGAAAATGCTATACCCAGATAGCCAGGATGATACCATTCACCAAACTGTGACACTGTTCTCAGAGAGCAAATGTAATTTCCCTTAAAAAATCCATTTTCTTTCCTTAGGAAAAAGGACATTCAGAGCACCTTTACTGAAGGAGAGAAAGTAGAAGAGCCTTTGTGCATGCCTTTCTTCTTGTACTCTTAAGCTGATTCTAAACACAGGTTTGGTTATTTCTTATATCTATATCTATATTTTCTCTCTGCTTTCTTGCTTTGAAATGTCTGTTTGAGTTCTCAATGAAGAACAGCTGAGAGATCAGGAAAATGGCTTAAGAATTCAGCAGGCTGTAAGCTATTTGGATTTAAAACAATGCCTGGGAGAGAGCTTTTTACACTGCCTTGCTAAACAATCCTCCTTCTGTCACCGACTGAGGTTGCCGTCCTTTGTTCGTCATGTCGCCTTCCCTCTAACTCTCCAGTGAGCTGTGGAGCCTTCAAGGGAAGGAAAAGAAGGATGAGCGAGGCTTCTTTCTTGTTTCTTTTTCAAATCCCCCAAGGTCTTTCTTAAAAAAAAGAAACAGAACAACACAAACCTCGTGGGCCATATGCCAGTTGTTTTAGTTGTGCTCTTGGCTTTGTTTCTTCCTCATTTCTTCCTCCTCTCCCCTTCACAGGGCACTCTTAGGCACTCAGGGAGAGCTGTGCCAAGGCAGATGAGCGTCCCCAGTCTTGGCCACAACACTTGTAGCATCAGAGCCTGCTCGCTTGACTACATCCAGAGTCATCTCCAGCACACGCAGAGGCTTCTTCCTTCCCCCTCCCAGGCTCTGCAAAGGCAAAGCAGTTGCTGGCGTGCCGGGCCGTGACACAGCAAGGTGGGTGCCCTCGCGGCACGGGCGGGCAGGCGGTGGCAGGAGGGCCCCATCACGCTCGGGTTCCTGCTTGTTCCCCCTGCAGATGCAGAGGCAGGCGGGAGGGAGCGTGGGGTGCCCCACGGCGCAGGCAGTGGCTCATCTTTTTGCCTTTGGTTTGCAGCAAAGCGAGGAGGGAGCTGTGTCAAACACACAGCTCTCCCGGACAGCTCAGCAGCACGCACACTGGGAGCAGGTGAGGCAGCCAAGGGGCTTGGACACCTTTTTGTCACAAAACCCTGATCCAGGGGTGCTGGGAGCAGGCCTCTGGTGCCACCCTTAGCTGCAGCTCACCCTTTGCCTCCTGCTCCTGTGTGGAGAGCTTTGCCTGTGAGGAGAGTGCCCGCAGGACATGCAGGCACCACTTCGGGAGTGTTTCTAAAGCCGTTTTTGTTCAGAAATTCCTGTTGTTGTTGTTTTGCTGACCTAAGCGGGCTGTATCTTTTCCAAACATTTCTGACGTTTCTCACAGAGTAATCTATTAATGTCGCAGACAAGGATTCTGCTGACTTCAGTTTGGCTTCTGTTTCCCATTGGGCAGGCTCTTCTCTTTATGGGGGAATGCCTCAAGCCAAAAAGAGAGGAAAAAAAAACAGCCCCTGAGCTAACTGAAAACAGGCCCAAAGGGAAGCGCTTTCCAGCCGCATTGCCTCTCGCTGGCTGGCTTCTGTTCTGTGCTTGGGGACGTGCCAGACTTCAGTGCCTCCGTGCTTTTGATTCCTGTTTATCCCCAGCAACATGATTGTCTATAATTATATATAATCTCTCCCTTGTTTACTCTTCTTCCTCCAGGTCTGAACACAGCTCGATGGCAGTTCTCTGCTCGGCCTGCCAAGGCTCCGGCTCCAAACTGCTTCTCGGCATCCTCCACCTTCTTTTTGAAAAGTAACAAAGACATCTGATTTCCTCCCACCCCTTCTCTGCGCGCCCCTCTGCTCCCTCCCTCCCCCTCCCTGGCACTGGGGTTATTTATACAGAATGTGGAAACAATTTGCAGGAAAGCGAACAATGTAACCCGGAGTGAGGGAAGGGAGACAAGTTTATTGTGCACACTGAGGGGCCTAGAAGCGAGGCGCTGCGCTTTTGGGGTGAGAGGGAGCGGGCTGCTTTCCTTTCTTTCTGCTCCCCTCTTTCAGCATCTCACTGCGTCACTTTGTCTTGCCAGAGCCAGGTCCAAACCAGAGCAACCAGATCTGACTGCGTGATTTGGAAGAAGCTCAGGTTGGATCCCCTCCCTGCACCAGAGCTTGTGCTTAATCCTCTGAGAGGTTTTGCTCTCGGATCATTTCTGCTCCCGGGCTAGCATTAATGAAGAGCATGTGTGCCGAGAGGTCCTGATCCAGGCCCTGAGAGCTACAGCACTGCTGCAGGCACTGTTTTATGCCAGGGTGTTGCACCTAGCTGGTCAGAGGAATGGTTCGGCTGAACGAGAAGATTCCCCCAGAGTGAACAAGGCAGAAGCTTTGTGCAAAGTGTGATTTTGCTCCTCCTCCCCTTGCCCACTAAGGGTGAAGTTTTCAGAGCAGCCCAGCACTTTGTTAGCACAGATGTGAAAGCATCTTTGTAAATCTAGCAGTTTGCTTTGGTGCCCACCACAGAGCTGAGCTCTGCTGGAATTTGGGACCAAAGCACGTGCACTTCTCAGAGGTGAGGGTGCCCTTTGTCCGTGGGTGTAAGCTGAGCCAGCATTTCAGCCTTGAGCAGCTCTGATGTCTTCAGATCTCCCTCTGCACGGGGCCCAGTTACCATAAAGTGCTTAAAAAGAGGTAATCCCAGCCCACTCATCTGTTGAAAAGGGCACGTTAGTGTTGCAGAGGGAAGGAGATGTTCTCCACAGGTTGCACATCTGAGCAGAGCAGCTGCCTTGGCAAGCTCCTCCCTTCCCGGGAGCTCGCAGCTTCTTTACTCAATAGCCTCAAGACTTGGGACGTGATCTGTGCAAGTCGTGCTGAGCTGAGCTGATGGGGCAGAGTCAAGAAGCTGCCAACTGGGTCATCGTGTTCCTCCCTAAACCAGACAAATTTCTGACCCTGAACTGGTGGAGTTTGGTGACCAGCACAGGAGGGAGCCATGCACAGAGGGACAGTTAGAAGGAACCTGCAGTGGGTTCTTCCTCCATGAGATCTCACCCTCTCCACCTCCAGTATTTCCTTCTCAGTCTTTGTCCATACACAGAGTGTGAACTTTCAGTGTATGTGTGTCCTGTAAAATTTGCATCTGCTGTGCCACACAGAGTGGCAAATGTCTCTGTGGGCAGGCTGACCCTTCTAAAACTAGGGACACAGCATCGACACCATCCCAAATGCTTTAGCTGATCCCTTCCGTTAGCCAGTTCTTGGCCCAAATTAGCAAATTTTGGTGAAAAACACAGCACAAGGCAGGAGTGAGGTTATTCTGGTCACCTTTGCTTTCTGATGGGATCTCACCAGGGGCAGTTCAGCTCTTCTCTTTGGGGTCTGCTAGTTTTCCTTAACTCTCAGAAGGGCCAGAAGCAGCAACGGTTTCTGTTTTCTCTTCCAAGCCAGGCACCAACACTGGTGAAGCCCACAGCTGGGAGCAAAGAGTGACTGCCACCTTCTGCTGCTCCCCATCGGCTGAGGCAGTGCCCAGCCATCACAGCGCAGCCCCTCTCCACCATGAGAACCAGGAGCAGAGGCTGTGGCACAAAGAAACACGGGGTTTGGAGGCATTCACTCTATCTGCACCCGCCTCTGTTAGCACAGCGTGCTCCCCGAGCCGTCTGCCTCCCATCCATGCAGCTGCCTCTCACAGAGCCCGTGGATGTCTGCAGCAGCCTGCCCAGGCTTGTTGCACAGGGTGCTTGGCTGACTAGCAGCGTGCTGGGCTACAGAGAGTGTTTCAGTGCCTTAAGACTCTGGAGAGCCCCCTCTGGTCCCTCCTGCACCTGTGCTTAGCTCAGGTTCTCAGGAAAGCGGCTCTGGTTTTGAGGGTTGTCTCTGGGCGCTCCACTGAAGGCAATATGGGCAGACAGGTTTTCAGTCTCTTTCTGACTCCCAAGGTCCCCCTTTTATCCCTGGAGATGTGGCCTTGAGTTAAACTGCATGGAGAACTCTTGAGCTAAGCAGCTCACAGCAGCTGTACAGGTTTGGGCAAAGTAGAGTCTTGTACCTCTACCTCGAGAGACTTGAAAATGCAGAGAGCAGCAGTGTAATTTCAGGAAAACAGCCACGGGAGCACATGTGTTTTTCCCTTTCTGGTTTGATTCTAAATGTTTAAATTCTCATAATTTGGGTCTCTCCTTGGAGTGATTGTGGTGCCGAAGCCATCCTTAGCTTTTTGGAATTTCCTTTGTCATCTTGTTCTTGTTTAGATTATTTTTAGGACTATGTAGAGGAAAACATATTTGTATTCTTACGTTTCATGCTGCTTGCTTACCACCTGAAATCCTCATCTGCTCTTTGCAGTTCCCAGCACAACTGTGAGCAATATCCCGAGCAGAGCATTCCAACTTCAGGTGGAGAAAAGCAACAGAAGCAGATGGGCTTGTAAACAGCAGAGAGCCCGCTGTCCTGCGGAGGTCCTTGCAGAACAGAGAGGAGCAGAAGGGTTAGTAAACACTGAGCAACGTTCATTTTCTGGGCAATGTCAATAGCTGAAATGTGATGATCTGGGGAGGGGAGGACAGCGTAGGAACAGCAACTATCATATTTTGGCACAGTCAGCTATTCCCAGCAGAAGCTGTTCATGTCAGAACTTGTAGCAAACTGGAGAATATGGGAAAGGGACGGGGGGTATGTTTTCCAGCATCAAAGAATTTGTGGGTGAAGGAAACAAGATTTCTACCAGCCCTTTTACACCAGCATTTTTATCTTGGTTTCTAAAGAAATATCCTACTGTTACGCTGTCATTCTTCCCTTCCCTCGAATTACTTTTGAAAGTGTCAGTCAATCAGAGGGATACAAAATTCCCACGAGTTACCTGAAGGTTTGCAGCTGAGTGGAGGAAAAAAAAGCAACAAATTGCCATCCCCACTAGTGGAAGAAGCCCTACATCCGCTGGGAGAAGCAGCAGCAGCCAGCTGGCCAGGCAGCACACGTGTTGCTCCGACCTAGCATGTGCTGCCAGTTGTCCAGCCAAGCACATGGAAGTGAGCTGGAAGCGAGCTGGAACGCAGTGGGGAAGGGCAGGGGGGAAGATGATCTGCGGGATCTGGTTCCCTAATAACCGGGCTGGGGTATTTCTGCTTCTCAGGGAGCTGCGAGTGGCTGCACATGTTCCATTAGCGGAGTGATGGTGAAGAGAAGCAGGGTGCATCAGCCCCGTGCGGAGGTGTGGGGAGCAGCTCTGTTGCTCCTGCTGCCTCTGCTCTCACAGGTGTGCCGCAGGGACGGTCGCAGGGGAGCTGGGAAGAAAAGCCCGGTGCTGACACAGCCTGTCAGGGCCTCCAGCCCAGGTGATGACAAACCTCCAAGTGCTTCTAGCTGCCCCTGAGAAGCAGCACATGAACTGTTTCCTGAAGGAATACAGATCCCTGGCTGCATAAAGGCTGCTTTTCCTTGTCCTTCGCTCACCCTGTGTGTAATAGAGCCTAGGAGTGATGCAATCAGGCGTACTTCCCTGTTAGAGGGCAGGGGACTCCTTCTGTCTTTACTTTACTTTCATGCTTGGGCAGGACCCTCTTTCCTGTCATTTCTGGCTGCTCTTTGCTTACCGATGAACCCTGGGGGGTTCGGTTGCTTAGTTTAGAGCCAGGAAATGAATGAAGAAGGGCAGGAGAAGAAAGAAAACAGAATAAGGAGGCTCACTTCCATAGTTTATTGGGCCCAGAGAGATTTCTATAAACCACATGGTTTCAGGTGTAAAAGAAATGAAAGATGATAACCAACGTGGAAGAATGGAGCAGCCCAAACCTCCCACAGCCCAGTGAGTCTCCAGAAATGTTGGCAAGGCTTAAACAGCAATTTACTGTAGCTGCAGGCAAAGAGCAGCCCCTCCACCTTGTTCATGTCAAGAAGAGGTCCTGATTCATGGGATCTGTTTTTATTTCCTCTGACAGGGAGACTACTGTGGATCCTGAGCAGTGTAGCAGTCACTGAGATAAGAGACCTGTGAAAGATGGTTCCAGGTGAGGATTGTAGAGAGATTTGTGTTGATTTAAGGTTGAAGAGTTGATATTTCTATTGTTGGTGAGGATTGGGAGGGGAGATTACCAAGTCCCCAAGTCTTAATGTAAAATGCTTAGAATCTGGAACAGATTGCCAAAAAGACACTTAGGGATGACTAAATGCACAAAGCAGCTTGAATACCCCTACCACCAGAGATCATCCAGTCCAGGATAAAACCTCCGAAATGGGCAGCACTTATATAAAGTACATGTGTCTGGGGACTCAAAATACAAGAAAACAGTACCTGAGGATAAGGTAACACTTTCTTCTCTGTTTCCTAGAAAGGAAGGAGAAAATGCCAAGAAGTTACTTTTTTTTTTTTTTTTTTTTTTGACAATGGACAGGAGTGGACAGCTCAGGATTTTTTTTTTTTTTCTGAGCTGGAGAAGAACCACTGCAGGTTAAGATGATCCCCGTAACCCAACACAGTGGGCTCACTTCATCCCGCCACAAGTGGTTCTGGCATTTCTAGCAAGATTTGCAATTCTAAGAAGTAACCTCAGAGGTTAATTGAAGTCTGAAAATAAGTTTATTTGGTAGATAGGCTAGAAGGGTTTAATTACATGTTTAGATCTGTGTTACTTTAACCATAAATTTTACCTGGGAAAGGAAACTGTGGTATTGGGAACAACAGCTTCGAGCAGTTTGGATTTGGAGACGGAAAATCATGGGGACTGGCAGATGGAAATGAGCTCTGAATTAAAGGATTCTCTTTGTTTGTTTTGGGCCCAAAATAACTGGACTATGTGTAAGGCCTGCTTTTCTGAGGATGGGTACTCAGCAGTTTGGTGACAGACTGTCAGAAGGAATCTATCTGAAATACAAGCTATACACGTCTGGATTCTTTTTGCCTTCTTTTTTCTGCCTGGTATGTCATATTCTCCTTGCAGTTTTCCAGATCAGAGTTACTCTTCCACTTGTTCCCCTTTGCCTCCTGCTGAGTCAATTCCTTTATTTTCTACCATTATTTGTACTGTAGTCACTCCCAGAATCTGGGCAATCTTCCTCAGAAGTCTCCTTGTCTCCCAAGCTCACCGCCAACTCTCCCACTAAAGCTTTTCTTTCTTTGTTCTGCAGAAGAAGAAAAGGCCAGGAAAGTGTGCTGTGACACCACCCATTCAGGTGCCATTGCCCTGTAATTTGTTACAAACTTGATACGAACGTAGAGTCACTGAGAAGTGCTGCAGTGAGACGTGTAAAGGCTAAATTGGTTTTAGCACATGAAAGGGAAGCAAGTGCTGTGGCCTGGTATCAGGCACCGAGTTCTGGTTTTGGTTTGGACACTGACTCACTCCCTGAGCTCAGGGAAATCGCTTCCCTTCTCTGTGCACCTGTTTCCACTCCCCACCTCTAATTGTCTGTCTGGTTAGGCTGTGAGCTCTTCAGGACACAGCCCATCTCTCGCTACGTGCGTGCACAACGCCTCGGCACAATGGAGCCTTGTCTTGGTTGGGGCCTTAGGTGTTAAAGTAATACAAACAAGAATAAAAGGTATGCCCAGACGGCACGGCAAGCTTCCCAGACATGCTGCCCTGCAAGCGTGTCTGAAACCCGATGTGCTGGGAGCCGTCTCTGTTCCCAGCCCTCGGCTTCTTTATGCCGGCCAACAAGGCATTAACCAGTTCCAGTTACAATGGGGAGGTGAACTGGCACGGTCCCAGTTCCACTGGGAGCCAGGGTGAAATCACTAAGCCCATTTTACAAACTCAAGCAGCATCCGATAGGAACCCCCATCCCGTGCAGCCACGGACCTGCCTGGAGCTTAGCCACCTCCCTGCAGGTGAAAAGCTCCGCTCGCCAGCCCCGAACTCATCTCGGCTCCAATTTGCCAGCAGAGAAGTGAGCAGGAACATTTTCTCCTTTCCTCCCTTGTCTGAGGAGCTGCGTGCATGTTCTCAGGCTTTCCTTCTTGCCTTCCTGCTTCTGCATAGCCCCTTCCTCCAGTGGCTTGTTCGTTCCCAGCGCTCCACCCCATCTTTTGCTTTCCTCCGTGGTTTGAGACAGCATCTCGCTGGTCCTGCCTCACACTCGGTGAAGGGGTATTAGATGGATTCCCCACAGAGTATAAATTGAATGGAGAGAAGTGGCTGGTTTCCCAGCAATAATTTATCTGATTAAAAAAATACTCCCCGAACTCCCCCCTCCTCTGCTGGCCCTACACCCCCTCCAAAAAGAAGACTGGCACTCGGGCTAGTGTTACAACTGCATTATTCAAATCACTGGAAGGGGGATTTCGATGGGAAAATGACTGTCAAAAGATGGCTCTCTGGGGAAAAAAGTGGGAGCTCTGAAATGTGGATCATGGGTTGGGGTATGGAGGAGGCAGAGAGAGTAAATAATTCTGAGTCAAGTACCTCTGTGCTTTATAGCTGTGCCCTCACCTAACAAATATTTTACAGATAGGCACAGATGCATCTGCTCACACACGTGTCCCTGCACACTCCTCTTGTAGAAGAAGCCATCAGCAGCAACTCTGGGGCAAAGCAAGCTGCTCTTGCAGGTCCATGCCTCCTCTCCTTTTTTTTTGCCTTGATTCGGGGCTCATTCCAAATAAAAGAAGAAATCCACTTCGCAAAATGTGCGTCTCCTTGTTTGTTACCTGTGCAGGTTTTATTCCTTTCAAATCAGCGTTATCCAAGGCTGGTAATTTTTGCCTCCTGCCGAAGCCAGCGTTCCTTTCCTCACATAGGTGGTTGTAATTGGGGAGCGGAGGAGTCACCCTGCCACCCCTTTTCAGCACAGAACGGCAGCATAGGTGACCTGAACTACGTCTTCCTGGCTTGTCTGCATTTTGCTGTTGCCTTTTTCTTTGAGGGAGAGAGGCAGGTATTTTACATTTCATACTGCTTCCACAGTACGGAGTGATTTATAACAGGAGCTACCTTATTAATGTCAAGGGCAGAATTGCTACCGACATTCAAGCTGCAAGAGCGTATGAAAATCATTTAGTTAGCTGTGGCACGATCCCAGCACTGAGGGCTGTTAGCTGATGTACATTCCTCTCTGTGCTCGCGGCCTCAGCGAGCCTGCCTGATGGTTTCAGGGCAGTGGGTGAAACATGAACGGGCCCATTCTGAGCTGCAGCTTTGCAACCACGGAGCAACCTTAAGCCAGTCACCAGGGCTCAGGTTTCCTTGATTTTTGACAGGAGTACTGCTCAGACAAAACCTCTCTGCTCCTTCTGGAGGATTTACACTGCCACAAGTCTTCATTTTTTCCAGATGTTTTACCTAATAAATCAAGGAGTCTCATCAGAGGATTCGAATCCAAAAGCTGTTACCATGACTTCAAAGGCACAGACTGGAGTGGAAAGAAGCAGTGCAGACATTTTATACCAGGCTGTAGTCACCGATCATGAATATACACTTTGGTTCCAGGATTCATCTATGGATAGCAAAACTCCACCGTGATTAAATGTAATGGCACTGCTCTCCTTCAGCCAGCCTTTGCTGAAAAGGAATTCAGCTGAGGCACCCACAGGCTGTGTGGCTGGCAGAAGTGGTGTGCAGTGACACAGGGGGCGGCTGGCCCAGGTGAGCTCTGCCAGCCCCCAGCCAAGATCAGGGACAGTTCGCTCATGTTTGAACTCTCTCTGGCCTCTCAGGTCAATATATGGCTGCGTGTTTTCTGTCAATGCTAGTTTAAGCTATTTTAATGTAAAAGGTTTAGACTTCGTATTCTTCAAATGTTTGGGAGAGAAGAAGATAAAAAGATTGCATGGCTGCAAAATACGATTGTGATTATTCACGCCAATTTGTTTCTTGATCAAGAATGTAACTTTTTTTTTTAATATAGTGAACCCTTCCTTTTTACAATGGTGTCTTTTTACATGGTGTCATTTTCTTTCACTGTTACATTTCTAAAGATAAATGCTCCAGCATTTGAGAAACAGTATCATTTGTGTTTCTAATTACTTGATTGCACAGTGTACTGCAGGATAATGTAATGGAGAAAAGCAGCTGAGAAAAGAAGGGATGTTCCTGCAGTAGGTCAACAGAAGACCTAAGAGACTGCAGTTTGGTTCCCTGCTTTCTCAGAGAGCTCTGCCATAACTCCAGCGGGTACTTGCTGCAGGTGATGTGAGCAGAACACTTGGGTTGTGGTACCTGACGATTCTGATACTTGAATAAATTGTCACCAAGGGGCTGCACTAACCCCTGTCTTGTGCTGGTAGTGTGTTAAAAGTATGCAGAGGGCTCTTAGTGCAAAGTAGATGTATGGTAAACTGCTTGTGGGTCAAATCTCTGAGGGAATCGGGGACTGTGGTACCTAGAGTGCTATGAAAAGACTGTGCAGCCCCCAATAAACTCTATAATTATGTAAAACTGACTTGGGACCTGAATTTACTCCAGTTAGACCTTTTATGTGTCCCAGGCAGCAGTGTGCAAGAGGGCTTTTGGTCGTTCAATATCCTTAAACCAGATCTTAAAAAAATCCCCTGTGGTTGCCCAGCAGGTTTGCAGAGAGGATGTTTCAGTGAAGGGGACGTTCTGCTGCATTCTGGTGGAGGGCTGTCAGAGCAGGCAGAGCCAGGTACGTATCTCCTAAAAGCAAGTTCAGACTAAAAAAAAACAAAAACAAAAACAAAAACAAAAAGCAAAACAAAAAACAACTCATCTAAATATTAACAATAAAATTACATTTATCGTGATACAGTTTGTTCCTGCCAGACTTCAGAAAAATTGCTGCTTATCTTCCCACCCCCAGGATGCTGAAGCCCAGCACCACAAACTGACAGGACTGCCTGGGATTGGTGACATCTAGAGTGATACGTGTTGGATCATCAGAAGAGAGTGGGAGCAGCACAGCTTGGCTTCGGGAACCTAAAAATAGGTACTATCATTTCTGAGCTGAAGCCTCCCTCCTCTTTCCCCACCCAGCCCTGCCTGTTTGGCATATGCAACACATAATCGCAGTGTTCACTGTGTACCAAAGAAAAGCCACATTCCTAAAGCAAGCAGTGCGTTAAGTACTGGACACACTTTGGTGGCAGGATATGTTACAGCACGGCTCCTAAGTTAGTATCAGTGACAATGGTTTGCAGATTTTCTGTTGGCAATGGGTCTAGGAAAGGATACTGCTCATCTGCTGCATTTCCATGTGGAAAAGCATCAGCGATGTTCAGAGACGCACCATAAAATAGGGAGCTTGAATTCCTTTCACTGGACAGCTGCTCGGATACTTGTAATTGAGTGATTGAGTGATGAATATAGCACATTTGATTTTCCTCTGGATCTTTTCTCTCTTTATTGTGCAGCTCTGTGAATCTCAGTCATGCTTTCACCTTTTTTTTTTAAAGTCTACTCGCTGGAGTAGGTATTTGTCAGCTTCTGCCAAACCCCAATAAGCTATTTCATTTCAAAAAAAACAGTTATTCAGGAAGGGTGAAGTTTGATTCACAAAGATAGCTCTCTTTGAAGATGTCTGCCCCTTTAGTAGTGACTGATTTAAATGGGTTCCATTTTAGTATGCCTGTTATGCTGTTCTCAAGGCCACACAAAGGAGGAGGAATGGTGTGAGGCCATATAAATCAGGGTTTGTTATAGTGAAGTCAAACACAACTGCACCATGGGGTGTTAATAGTGAGCAGGCAAGAAGTCAAAAGCAAGTCAGAACCAACTAACAAAAGCCACAAAGCTAATCTGTCTGGTTCTTGATGCTTCGCAAAAGTGCAGCGTCTGCATGCTCATGTTCTGTTCTAGAAGGAGCTTGGGGTGTTAGACTGATCCATATCACCTTTTCAAAGTGCTCCAGTAATTGGATGAGTATGTTTGGTGTAACATCTTTGGCTCTCAATTTCTCCCATCGGGGAAGATCTAAAAATGAAGCTACGTGAGCACATCGCTAGGCCAAGTCTTCTCGTCCTTACTAGCACCAGGCTCACTCCACTGAATGAGCTCAGCTGAAACGCTGGTGAGGACAAGCAGGCCCCTGGACACATGGTAAGGGACCTGCTGGACTGCACTTCCTTTGAGTAGTGCATTGTTGTGTGGAGGAAGAAATCTGCCAGTCTTTAAGAGTTTCCTCCTTTCCAAGCAGTGCTTTGTGGGCAGAGTAGAGGGCAGCCAAGAAAAATTAACTATATGGAGAGGTACAAAAAACCTTCTAGCACACAGCTGAAGTGAAGGCTCTCAAGCAGTGTTTCCTGTATGCTTGAGGACAGAGATACCACATGCACCAGCTCCTTCTTTAGAAAGCTTTGTCTTCAACACGGCTGCTGCCGTAGACCCGATGTTGTATCTCATAGTCAGGTCCTCACAGAATGGGATTTCTGCCCTGGGCCTTATTCTCTAGAGCAATGGTCCTGGTGGCCTCTCCTTACATGCAGATCGTTTATGTGTAGGTTCATTGTGGGTTAAATCCTGGGGCTTTTAGTCCACCGAGTTCCTCTTGAAGCCCATGAGAAATGCTGGAACAAAAAAGTGGATGAGGATCTTGGTGCACAGCCTTTGGCGAAGGTGCCAGAGCACATGTGTTTCCCTCTGCCTCAGTCCCATAGTATAGGAGCACTTCAGGTATTTGGAGGTCTCCCTTCACTCTTTCCTTCACCTGCTCTTGCTAAGACTCAGGGCTGCGTGCTGGACTACGAAGCTGGAAGGCAGGTGTGGAGCTCGCTTGGCACCGCTGCACACGGAGCATATGCGATGGGCACATCTTTCTCTTCCAGAACGGCTGTGCCATCCCTGCGGCATCCCAAATACCTCAGAGCCCAGAAGAGAAACTGTGCCCCAACCTCCTGAAAAGTACTGAGCTGTCAAGCCAAAAAGGAGCTGTTAGTGCTTTAAAATGGGCCACAAGGCTTCTTTCTTACAGACCGAATTCAAGACAGTGGAAAGTTGGAGGGATTGAATGTAGCTTGTGGGCCGGGTCGTGGGTGATCGCATGAGTCCATTGGACAGACTGCAGACACGTGCGTGCACATGTGCCTGCAAGCACATACCACTGTGGTTTCTGTATTAGTTTTTGTTATTTCTCAATATTCCCTTTAATATTTAATGTATTTATCTTGGTTGCTGGCAATTACAGCAGTGAGAGTGCTGACTCTGGTGTCCCTCTGGGACATGACATTGGCTTGGGACAGCACAACGCTTTCCTGTGGGTCTGCGAAAAATGTTCTGTCCTCTACCACCAACCCCGAGAACATTCCTGGCTCCTCCGATAACATCCTTAACTGCAGCACTGACATAAAGAATTTAACGCAGGAGTGACCTGACACTTCCAAACTTTCTTTATTTTCCAGGAGTTCTGGGTCTCTAGAGCCTATTTGTTGTAGCTCTTCCCAGCAAGAAGGACTTCAGCTGTCTCAGTCCCATACCTACAGTGTCTCTCCATTCCACAGATCATTTTTTTTGGAAAAAATTACATTTGGCAAGACTAGTAAGGAGGGAATGAGAGTGCAGACCAGGACAGTCTGGCATAACTGTGGTGCCCTGACACAGTTCTTTTGGAAGACAGAAACTGAAACAGGAAAGGGAAAGTCCTGGTAGGGAGCAAGAGCTGGGTGAAGTCCAGGACGGGAACAACAGAGGGTGCTGCAGGTCACAGCTGAGCGGAGCTGACAGCTCTGGAAAGGGTGACACAGGAACGTGGCTTGGCTAAGGTGCAAGGGTGCAGTTTTGATCCGTGGAGGTGCTGCACTGGTGACTGCAACGGTCATGGGGGAACAATGGGTCAGGAAGGGCTGAAGTCCTTCAGCTGGAGAGTGCCAGGTATTGGCCGGTGCTGTTCACATCTCCCTTTAAAATTAGGTCAAGCGGAGTCCAGATTTCTCCTGCTAAGCAGAACAGCTGTATTTAGGAAGCCGTGGCTGTCACGCAGCCAGCCTGGCTGTGGGAGCTGGGAGCGCTGGAGGGCAGAGGAGGGGACGCACTCAGACACAATCCATGTGCACACAGGTACCCTCCAGCTTGATGCACAAAGCTGGATTTTGCCTTTGTGAACATTTGCCAATTATAACATATCATGTGCGTCAATAGTGCCTCTAACTTGCCTTAATACCTTTTTATGAGAATAAAATTTGTTCTTATATGGTGCTTTTCATGCTTGAGGCAGTTCAAAGCGCTTCGCTAAGCACAGTAATGAGTTAGATCTGGGGAGTGCAGTGATTGTGTAGGCAAATACAGGGACTATTATGTGCTCTGCAATAATTCACAGAGCCGCCTATGCTAGAAACTGTTTTATTTATTGAAGGGAGGAATGTTGGCTGGATCTCATGGTTGTCCTCTGGAAGATTTTAATGATCTTTAGCTTCCATACAGAAAGGCACCTCTGAGAAATGGGAGCCAAGAGACCTGGCTTGAGGAATGACACATCCAGCTATGCAGTGCTGCAGCTCCCGTGTCAGCTGAGGTGAGGGGCCCAAGTTTAGTTGCAGCCCTTGAACCTGAGATTTACCTTTCTCAAGTATATTACATCTCTCTGAATCCTAGCAGTACCCTCAGGCTGTCTCTGCTACTTGATGTTCTCTTTTAGCTTACATTTAGTTATAAAATATATGTGTTTTGGTTTTTTTTGAGCGGGACCTTCCACCCCTAGGTCCTGAAGAGGGATTGCCGAGTTTAACAAAGACCTTGTGAAACACCATGGAAGTATTGCAGTTCTCCACAGGAATAAAGGGAGATTTGAGGCTAGATCCAAACATCTGAAGTGAAATTTGCACAGAATTTAGGCACATTAGTCCAAAGTCATGATCCTGAAAAACCTGCTCTCAGTGCTGCATGCTGCAGGGGCTGTCTATACATGGCAGACTCTTCGTTTTCAGCATTTGAACTTCTTCCTCTGCACCAGACAGACCTTTCCTGCTGACTTACTGGCCAAACTGTTTCTGGGATTTCTCCATAAAATGTTTGGGTCAAAATGAACTGGTCTGATGGAAGAGGGCAGTAGCTGTTTCCGCTGTCCTGACTGTGCTGGTAATCGTTACAGGTCCAGGGGGCTCTGGACGTGTCTTGCAGGTGCTGTTATATTTTTTCTGCACTGTATGGGTGATGATGCAGCACATGTTCTCAGTGCCCAGTCTGGGGGAAGGACAGCAGGTCTTCATGACTGCCTTCTGCAGGGGAAGAGACAGCACGGGGTATGCAGGCTGCTCCCTCTGTTCCCTCTCCCTGGAGAGGTTTGCCATAGGGTGGCTTGGAGGAAAGCTTTATCCCAGAAACCCTGGGATACTGCAGAACACCACGTGCAATCCAATCCTCAAAGTAAATTCATGTATTTTTACATTTTCTAGAAGAAAGCCTCAGGAACCCTACCTAGCACATTGCCCTGAGCTTTTGATGGCTGGGGAGCCCTTTCTGCTAGGTAGGCCTTGATGTTGGAAAATGCTGCATTACCCACTTCTGCCGTGTTTCTCCAAAGGGAGCCAGCTTTTTCTTACTGCTGTATGATTACAGAAGCCTAATTAAGAGAGCAAGTGGAGTCAAACAGGAAGATGCTTCCCTCTAGGTGCTGTCTCAGCATACACATCTTCAGAGGCTCGTTGCTTACACAGCGAACTGGCCTGTGCAGCTTCATGCTTTTGGGCTGTTTGAGTGTATTCAGCCTACAAGAGCAGTTTGCCATCATGGTGTTTGGTGTCTCCTTTGTACACTGCCTCAGTATTACACAGAACAGTTTAAGACAGTTTCTTTGGCCTTTGTGATACCAGGAAGCATCCTGTGTTCAAGGACAGCCTTGAAACTCCTCCTGAAGCTCCTATGAGGCCACTTACGCTGCACCTCCTGTGAACAAAGAGGATTTGCATGACTTTTCACATCTCCCGCCTGCCCAGTGATTTGTGGGTTAACTGTGAATAACAGTCATTACCTCTCTGGAGCTCAGGGCACCCAGGGTTTCAGACTGCACTGCAGACAGGGCAACCCTGCTGACATGAATGGAGCTGGTCAATTGGGAATGTAAACAGAGTCTGACTTATTATTGAATTAACTTCCTAGAAATCATAGGGTAAGGATAGAAAGGTATCACTTCAGGCTCCTCTGGAATGGTACGGGGGTTAGTAGCTTGAATTGTCCAGAGCAAGACTACACCCGGCTCAGACTGTAAGTAAAGACTAATAATATCTCTAATTGAAACCAGACGAAACATTTGAGCAGTCAGCCTACAAGTGCTTCACAAAAAGCGGAAAGCAAATGCTTTTTGTATAAGCATTAATCTTTGTGCCTCACTGGGGTCATAAGTGCTAGTAAGAGTGCAAGGAGAGAATTCAGCTTGGTCAGCACTGGTCTGTAAAGATCTATGTCCGGTTTTGCACTTAGTTCTGTTTATCTGGGGCTATTAATTAGCTCCTTTCAGTTTCCCTGTGAGGATCTGTATGTTAGATCTAGGGAATGCTCTTGCACATAAAGATCTGTCATTGATTGCTTGGGCAGCTAAATTGGGTAGACAGTTCACTGCTCAAAGGTATCTTAACTTTGCATCCTTTTCTGCTAGGGCAGGAATACTGGGGATGACTTCAATCTTTTTGTAATCTCCTTGTACACATTGCTTTTCTAATTTCATGCCTAGGTATGGCATTTCCATTACAAAGGAGTTTTGTTGGTTGAGCTCTGCTGGTCTGGGTCTTTCAAAAGCTGATCAGAGCCTTTGGTCATGTGCTTCTACTCTTTTGCCGCAGAACAAAACATCATCTACACAGATCCTAGGCTATCAAAGCCCATGAAACAGTTCAAGTGCCAAACACAACCCAAATGGCTGCCTGAGAAAATTATGTCTCCCATAGGGGCTGTTGAATATGCACAAACGTATGCTCTGTTTTCCTAACGTGTCTGTCAGAACCCTGCTGATGCCTCCAGCAGAGAAAAATATTTGGCAGAGTCCGTTTCCCCCCAAACTTTACTCCTTGCAGGAAACAGATTTTTTTTTCCTATGTATTTATTTGTGCTTAACTGTAATCACAAAGGGTTATATTTTTCCCCTTTCTCTGGTGACCCACGAGCGTCCACTTGCTGTCAGTTCTGCATTTCCTCTTATCTTTCACAGAGCTGTGAGCCTTTTCACCCTTTCCTCTAATGCCTGCTGTATTCCACGTGAGAATTTTATGTAGGATGTGGGCTTTATGATGGGTGGGCTCTATTTAGGTTTATTCAGCATCCTGTGCAGGCTTCCCTGTTTTAAAAAAACAAACTCACTATTGTTCAGGTGCTCTCATGGTATTATTCTAATGTAAACAAGGCTTCTCAACACAGCTGTATAGGCTAATTTTTCAGGCTATCTCTTTTGCTGTCTGTTGGTTCCCCATACATTTAACATTGGATTAATTTAGTTGAAAGATCCCCTCTGTAAGTGCTGAGCAGTTTCACTCACTTCTGACCATTTTCAGGAGTCTGTTTGTAGCTTTTCTTTTAGAGCTAATTACCGCAGTTCCTAGCACTGCGTAAGTTGGTGCACAACTTAAAATTAATTAACATCCCTTTATCTTTCAGGCTGGGGATTCCTCACCTGTGTCACCCAACCCACTCTGGGACCATGAAGTAATCCAAATGGGGATTTTGTCCACACTGACTGCTGCGTTGGCATTCACAGGTTCTTGGCGTTACCACTTGAGTTCCCCTTTCTTTTTCCAAAGGTGGGGACTGGTGTCTGTTGCTCACCCCACTGCCCTGTTCCATTGCCTGTATTTTTTTGCAAACTGCTTCTGAATGCTGCAGACCTTTATCTTACTCCGCTCTGTTGCAGACTTTCAGATTTTTGGGCCTGCCTTCTCTCAGTCAGTGTTAGAGTAGACACAGTGACTTTCCAGTGCTGTTTTAACAGATTGGTTCACTAACCTCAGACCCGTGGTTTGAAAGGTGGTCTCCAAGTCAGCCGCTGGCAGTGCAACAGATCCAGTACTGGGCTTGCTGTTGCTCATGGTAATTGTGAGTCAAAAATCTACTTTGAAGTGGTTTGTTCCAAAACCCAGTCAGGACCTGGTTTATCATTTGAGTTCAGTTTGTCTTTCAGCAGTGTAAATACATTATCCATGTTAGAGAATCATAGAGCTTTCTGTGCTCAGTCGTTCTTTACATACATCAAACCTGTTATTTTTAGGTGAAGTGCAAGATTTCTTACATATGTCACAGTCCGTATTGTACACCTGCATCAGCTGAAAATCAGAAAAGCCTTTCCTGCATGCAAACTGGCTGGAGCCAGGAACAAGACTAACTGCTTCATCTGCCTGGTTTGGAAATTGCTCACAGTGAGGAATTTGCCTCACATGGTGTTGGAGTTCTCACTGCTCGCTTCCTGCAGCAGGAGCCTGGGCACAGCATTTGCTTCTTCAGGAGTCTTCTGGGGGCACTGTACCCCCGCGGGCTATTACATTTGTCAGAAACTGTATGTAACACTTAAAAAAAAAAAAAAAAAAAAAGAGAGAGAGAGAGAGAGAATAAGAAACTGGGAGTTTTATGTGAGTCTTTTTTTTTTTTTTCCTTCGGTATTTTTTGCAGCTTTATTTTTAAGCTAAGAATTACACATGAGCTCTGCTCTTTAGTAAAAACACACATTAACACCAGTAGTAGCAGTAAACATCAGAAGTGTGTCAGTAATACTGTGTCTTCTCCCATGCTGTCTTCTCCAAAAGTAACACTTCCTAGAGTGACCTGGCAGCAGGAGAAGTATTGGCTCACGGCAGATATTGTGACGACAACCCCAGAATGACCCGGTGACTGTTACCTGCTATTTGGTGAGTGGCTCAAGGTCAGAAGGAAAAAGCTGGACTACCATTTGAGAGGGTGGCTTAGACAAAACTAACAGATCGTGAAGCAAGCAGCAGCCTGAAAGAAGGCTTTGGAGGCAGATTGCAGCCATTTGGGGCTAGAAAAACATTAGATTCGTGAGAAAGCTTTTCTTCCACTGTCAAATATATCTTATTTGTTACCTGCCTCAGAGGGCTCACATCTGAAAAATGCCATTTCTTTTCTTCCTGGAATGTAAATGTTCATTCTAGATGGTATAGACATAAACCTCAATTTCTCTTCAGCCCTCAATGGAGGTTTTTGAATGTGGAATGAGTCTTTTTGAGAAATGGATTTCTTGGTGAATAAAGCTCTTCTGTACTTTCAGAAATGAAGGGTGCTTCTGATAGCCTTCACCTCTTTTCTCTACTATTTCTCCTTTTTTAGCAATGTGAGTTTGTTCCAAACATCTGAATTCTCACTGGTCTTTGGGAGTGATGCTTTTTAGCTGAATGCCTTTGTGAGTGTGAAGGCATTTTGCTTTTACACAAAATGTGTGCTACCTGCATAGCGTAAGAATATTTTCCTCCCAGGCTACCTTGCCAACATGTACCTCACACTACACTGAAGGAGGACATGCCATTTCAACCTTCGGTCCTTCTCAGAGCATCCTCCTTCCCAGAAATGTGCGTCAAGTGGAGGGGGAAGTAGGTGGTGCGACAGCCTGGGCAACGTTTTCTTACAGTGTAGTGCTACCTTCTTGCTAGGAAGTGACTTAGCACCTTCACCTCTTCTGGGGCAAGGCACTTGACTGCCAATGGGCAGTGATTTTCCAAAACCACTGATCTCTGGTGGTATGAACTAGTAACCTCATTTAGTTTTCTGCAGTTCCCACTGCTCCCTTTAAGTGTTTCTGAATGTCTTTGTGTCTCTCTTGGACACAAAGTCGCATTCTGACCTCTTTGAAACTCATTTCATATTTCTTAGAATCAATAGACTTCAAATGCAGTAGCAGAAATACCAACTAGTCAATAAGTGCAGTCAAGTTATGTTAGAAGTAAAAGCAATGTGTTGTAAGGGCAACATTTTCCTAAGGAACTGCTATTCGGGCATATTTGTTGTTTCAATTAGTCTGATTTAGTGGCTCAGTCAGGGGGCTGCAGCCTGTAGCACTCAGACTGTAATTTGATTTCTAAAGCTGCCGTTCAGGTACTAAGGAAATCAAAGTGTGTGGTAAAACCACATCGTGACAGCAGACGTACAGCCCCTGATGTGCTTAACGTGCTGTGGATCTGTCAGGAAGATACAAGGGTTCACGGCACGATCACCCGCATTTCGTACCCCATCAGAGGTGCATGTTTTGCTCTCCTGGCTTTGATCACTGCTCCCCTGGGAGGAGCATGGAGCGGTGGCAGAATGGTGGTGTTTTTCCAGAACTGTTGCCCTGAAGGGATATTTAAACGAAAAAAAGAAAGTAAAATTAACGTGTGTGAAAAGTGCCAGATTGACAGCCTTAGCGAGTAAAACACTTTACCTATTTGAAGGCTACCCACGTTTTATCTGCTCGAGCTGTCAGTGCAGTACCACTCCTTAGCGTGAAATGTTTATTATTATTTTTAAAGCTGTCCCTTGTTTCTCCAAATTGCTCAGTCCTGCATCTGAGAAAGATTCAGGCAGTACTAATGGGGGTAAGAAGCCGGACTTCTGAAACCTAGGAAGAAACACTGGCAAATTTGCCCTGCTTTTGGAGATACTTGAAATTTGCAGGAGGCTAGAAACGATTTTACAATAAAATTTATGCAGAATGTTTCAAGGCGTAGCTCTGCTTTCAAACTAGAAACTGCTGGGAACAGGAGCTTGTTTCTTAGCAAATCAGGGCTGTATCGCTGCTGTTACTCTGCAAAGAGACTTGCTCGCTCTCCTCCACGAGCTACGTAACCGAGCTTTTGTCTGGACTTTTGCAGCATGCTCAGGTGCTGCAGCATGACTCCCTGCCTTTCGTGGCAGGAAGGTGCAACATTTGATTCTTGCTTATAGAAGTAACACAAAGTTTGAATCTGAACACCTGAAATATTCCAGCCGAGTCCAGTTTAAAGCTACCATTGTCATAGCCAGAAACTGAGCTCTGTCCTAAGGGTGGGCATGTGTCCCCTGTGGGGTCACCACGTTCAGCTGTTCACAGATCCTGGGGCAGGAGGTCACTGACAAAAGACCAGCCCTCCGGGAGAAATTAAGAAGCCCAATACAATATCTCTTCCATAAAATATCCATTACATTTTTAGGAAATGCCTTCACAGAATTTGAAAGAGTGATGAGATTTTGAGTAGCATTCTAACAGGAGGGAGGAGACCCCACACTTGAAAGGGATACCTGCTAAGCGTATGAATAAGGTAGTTGCTCATTACAAACAGGACTCTGTCCCAGTCCAGATTTGTGTTCTGGATGTCAGTATTCTTACCTGTTTCTGCACATCTGTCTTCACTGTATTGTATTAGTGGTGTGTGCCATTGTTCCTGAACTGTTAAAATCGTGGGCTGAGGTAATTTTGTTTGTATTTACTGTACTGTCACAAGGCTGTACTAACTGCTATTCTTCAGTTTCTGTGGTTTAAGATGGGGGTACTTCAGTCAGTATTTTTCAACAGGAGCCTTTTTATCTATATCCTTCCTTCGGTTTTAAAGATCTGAAGCAGGAGTGTGAGATACAACCCAGCCATGACTGACCTATAGCAGCACCAGACACTTACGGGAGCTGTCTCACTTCCCCACCTTTCCCGGCACAGAGACAAGGAGAAAATGTGGTAGGATTTACATGGCATTGAAAGACTAGGACTCAAAGAGATGTGAAATTTGTCTTTGTGGTGGACCTGCTGGACTACCTTCAGTGATTCATAACACCTTCCCTTGGTTCGGTTTTCCTCCTAACTTCTCTGAGGAAAGGACCTGCTGTTATTGTGTGATCGTATGGTGTCTAATACAATAGGACCAACCTCAGGTAAGACCTTTAGGCACTCCCATTATACGAATGAGAACAAGATTGTTGGTGTCAGTAATTAACATTCTTGTGGGATTGTTGGAAATGCTTTGGGATAAACACCACCTGGAATCCTTGCCTGGCTTATGTGGTTTTTAAGCTGCAGAGGAGGTTGATCCTGTTCACAGGAGAGGGCATGGATCGTCTGTCTCTTCTCTTTCTGGGTGTGGAAAAAGTCTTTCAGTCCAAAAACACATTACAGCACCTCAGTGAGAAGTGGGATGCTGGAAAAGCAAGGGCATTGTCAGTGGGGGAAAAGAATGGAGGCTCGGTTATCAGCGTGGCTCCACAAATGATCTCACCTGAGGACAAAGACTATATGACAATCACCAAAACAGGGAGAAAAACACCAAACTAAGTGTCGCTGATAACATTGTGAATGCCTGTGGCACGGTGTTATCCCATGACAAGCTTCCGGAGATGAAATCTGGCTCTGGTTCAATGGATGGCAAAACTCCCACTGACTGCAGTAACATCAGGCTTTCCCCTTGGGGTTGCCTGCATTTCTCTGCTTTTGAGTGCCCAGACAGCCGCATCCCACATCATTATGCACATTCTGATAACAAATAAATTATTCTTTAAAGCATGGATTGGATTCAGTAAGCCCTGCATTTTGGATTCTATTTTCCCTCTATCTGCACCTGAAATCCCCGAATAAACAAACACTGGATTAGATCTAAACAGCAACTCTGCTCAGTAAACGAAGCCATTAAAAGCATTTCACACCAACTGCTCTGCTCCTATTTCAGACTCTGTTAAACACGGAGTCAAGCTAAGAAGCTCAGTCGTCCTTCTCAAACTTTCCAGGAGACTAACCGTAGTTATTGGAAGGTCTGCCTCCATTTGCCACCCTCTCTAGCTCCAAGTGAGGAGTCGGAATTGTCCAGCTGTTGACATCAGGAAGGACATAAATATGTGCTGGGGTTAGAGGCTTTTTGGCAAATGGCCTGCTAACCTAGAATTTGCTCTGCAAAGTTGGGAGGATGACTTTTAACCTCCAAGCAGTTTTCAAAACCACATCGGTCACCAATAAATATGAAAAATTAAAAAAAAAATCTTGTCCCTACTGAATGATGAAGGAGAACAGACCTGGGCTCTGTGGTGCTGCGATCAGTATGAAGACCAATATAGGCATAAGCAAACTGGTTGCCAGAATAAGTTTGTGGTTGTTGCTCATACCTCATACACCAGGGAGGCAGCACTAGAGATTAAACTTAAGGTGAGTACCTAAAAGATGTAAATCTAAATGAGTCACGTCTTTGTGCTGCAGCTCCTTCTTACCCCAGAATTGCCTTAACTAGCTGTTTGAGGATGCCCAATAATGGGAAATTCTCTAGATAACAATAAATTGGTATAACAGTTCTGTGCCACCTGACGTCCTGCTAAGCACTGGAGAAGTCATGATCAGAAAAACGGACACAACTAGAGCACCACTGACCAGTCCAATCCTAATTTCATTGCTTTTCTTGTCGGCAACAGATAACACAGTGCAATTTACAGCAGCCCTGGAATGTACGGTAGTCCTCGGTGGAAGCCTCATTACTGGGAGTCACAAAAGGTCAGTGAAATTGTCTTTGTTCCATAACCTTGCTTCTGTGCCAAAAAGCAGTAGGTTGGTTTGCAGTAGGAAGCACCTCAAGCAAGAGAAAAAAAATTAATCACTGAAATTAAGGTCCTCCCCTGGATCTCCCCTCCGGAGAGTATTCTCTGCCTCCGTTGATCATACTCAGACTCCCAAATAAGGCAGAATTTTGAATTAATAAAGGTACAATGTGAACATTTGAGTGACAGCATTAAATCTTGGCTGTAAGGCTTAGATATCTCCAAGAGGAGAAAAACTTTTCTCATTCAGTCATTTAGAAGTGGCTGAGGCAGATGAGGTAAACACAGTCTCCAGTTATTATAGAGCAATGCAGTCATTTATACGTGCATATTAGACATTTGCACCCTGAAGGTGTTGTTTTTTTTAATTTAAGAGTTTCAAAGTTAAGAGAAGCTAACATTAAGGTGGCCTGTGCAACTGTAATTTGTCCCCTTTTGTGCATTTGCATTATGATGCGCTATTTAATTGTAATTAGAGCACACGCTGTTCTTTCGACAGGTTCCCGGCCTCGCTCATTGTACAGAATAGCCTGTGCTCACTAAGTAATAATTTTATTTTCTCCTCGCTGTTCACTATGTGGCCCATGCTTTATTTACTGCACACCATTCAAATATTGTTCTGAAGACAGATTTATTCATTTCCTCCTGGGCTTTTGCATGGTACTCATCACTATGGTATCCAAGTGCTTCACAAACTCTAATTCATTTTCTCAACTCTGTGTGAGAACTGGTATTACCCTTATTTTACAGATGAGGAATCTAGGCATACAGATGGAACAGTAAAAAATATCTTTTAATTTTAGATATCCAATTAGAAATACTCATGGCCTGATTTTGTCAGAAAATATAACATGTTAAAGCATCTAATTTAGTCAGAGTTGAATAAATTCTCATTTACTGTGGTTCTATCTGTAAGAGCTCTTCACTTCTGCAAATCAGACTTCAAAATGTCAAATCAGGCACCTAGGAAATGCGGGCTGCACAATTAATGTGAAGCCTCTGTTTTAAGCACTGTGCTTTGCTCTGCGCAGGAGTTTTGATGCTGAAGCCCCTTCCTGGAGCAGCAGTTGCCAACCTGAGCCACAGCGCTTTCTTTTCTTGCAGTTACTTGGAAGGTACATAACATACCTACATCTAATTTTTGTAGCAAATGAAGTGGAAGTTATTTAGGCACTTAATGTTGTTCCTTGACCTTGCTTCAGCATCAGAGCGAGGCATATCTGCTTGCATTGACAATCTGTATTCTGGTATTTCATAACTTGGGAGTGTTTTACTTTGCATCCCAACTAATGTTGTTTTAATGTAGTTTTCCATGTGCAATTCTCTCCCATGTAGAGATAACCTAAAAAAACCCAGCAATTTAATCCTACGTTGTTATATTGATATCTATGTAGGCCATCAGCAATGTGGAAACTTATCCTAAATGAGGAAAGAAATAATTTGGCTCTCCTGCACGTAGTCCAGCGCTGCAAGAGGATGCGGTACGTTCTCGGTGCGTTTCAGACACTTGCTGCCAGTAGATGTGACAGTTTCCCTGTGTTCTTCACTCCCATTCCCATTTTTCTCCCATTCCCAGTCTGTTTTCAAGTCTTCTCTCAGCTGGCTTCCAGACTCTTGCTCTTGAGCTTTGCTTTATCCCTCCCTCCAGGCAGACCCAGTTTCCCCTTCCAAGCCCCATTCCCTTTCACCGCCCTGGAGAACCTGTCTTTTCTCCAGACCCTTTGTGCCTGCCAACTTCCCCGACCCAGTTCTTGGCCCCACGGAGGAGCTTCCTGCTCATGTTGCCTGAGAAGCAGGGAGAGGACTGGAAGGACGGGTTCCCTGCTCACCCTGGGTACGTTCAGACTTGGCATGGTCCAGGGTAGCGGGGAACTGGAACGGCAGGTCCAGCTCTGCTCCCACAGCCTTGGGCTGCAACCGGCTCCATGAGCATGAAACTGCTGGGGAATGGCACTGCTGAGCTCCAGTAAACCCCCGCGGAGTGCAAATGGCATTTTTGGTAGGTTTTTACACGCAGGTTTTTGAGGAAGCATCTCTGACAAGGTGACTGTTCTCCTTTTCAGGCCCAAAGATATTTTTCAAAGGACATTTACCTCTGGCCTGACGGCAGGAATGACAGAAGACCTTTTTGAAGTTTGACCTGAGGTATGAATTTCAGATGCTTTCATTTCAGCACAATAGTTACTCTGGCATTATTAAAGGTGACTGAAGATGGGATTTTATGACAGGAATTGCTAACCAGCTTCGATAATAGTTACACTTCCAGAGCCACCTTTTAATCAGGGCTTCTTTTCTCAGTATAAATGATCACAGTTCATTGATGGTAATCCTTCTGGCATATCAACCATCAGCTTAACGTGGCAAGCATTAACATGGAGAAAACCAAACATCCTTCTGAGGAGGTAATTATTCACCACTGTGAGAACGCTCCAGGATATTTTCAGTGGAGGACAAGCCTCCCGCTTCCTGACAGAAACACTGGACAAAATTATAAAATAATGAAGCAGGTTTCACAAAGAAAAACACTTTGGTATTAGCTGACGCTTTGCAGTCATGCTGGTGTTCAAGTAATCATGCACATCTCTGCATCTGTAGGTGCAGAGATTCACACGTGCACAGGTGTGCTGTGTCAGGCTTCTGCCTTGCAGAAAAGCCTTTAAATGCACAAATCTGCAAATTCCGCTGCCTCAGGGCTCACTTCAGTGGAGCATCACCGGTGCCTGCATGGAGAGGGACACCCTTGCCAAATGGTAATCAAGGCAAACGGCAAACTTTCCTGTAATCAGTCCTCAGCTCCTCAGCAGCAGTGTTAGGATGAGTGTTAAACCTGAAGAAACGATTTTAAACATGGGTTGTTTTTTGTGATAGAAGTGTACTTTTTGGGGAGATGTACCCAATTAGCTGTGTTTTGCTGTTGCAGTGCCCCAGGGGCATGGTTATTGCAGGGTTTCCGCACCACTTCTTGAGCCTCAGCGCTACGTAATTATGCACTGAAGGAGACGATTCAATTAGTCAATAATAAAACGAGGTGCAAGGATAGCGTACAGAGCGTAAAAATGTCATTTAGTGGGCAGCAGGCCATGATGGAAAATATATAAGGGTACACTTCAGATGATTAATGGAGGAGGAATGTATATTTATAGCTCTCATTGTGTCCTTTGTAAGGATACGCAATGCAACAGTCGGAATAAAACCGCCCGGTAACGATGCACCATCCAAAACGGTTTCGATTTGAATGGCAAATGCTGCCTGAAGCGAATTACCCCCGGGAGGGCGAAAACACGCATCGCCCGCCTTCACAAAGTTTATGAATCCGCCTTTATCAATCCTTTGATTCGTTGGGAACCACGCTCGTTCTGAACCACCGAGCCGCGTTCCCTGAGAGAACACAAGGTGCTGGGGGGGGCTGCTGTGAGGAGGGGAAGGCGGCGCCATGGCGGGGTGCCCTCACGGCGCTGAGGGGACCAACGGTCCTGAGGCGGGGGGAGGGGGGGGGGGCGCGCGCACACCTGGCGCGCGATGGCGGGAAGGGGCGCGTGCGCCGCCGCCGCCTCCCGGGAGCGCGCGGGCGCATGCGCGCGGGGTGTGTGTGTGGTGTGCGGGGGGGGGCGGGGCCGCGAGGGGCGGGGCGGGGCGGGGCGGGGCGGGGCGGGCGCCGCTGGGCTCCGTGCGCGGCAGCGGCCGGGAGCGGCCCCGGTCCGGGTTCGGGTCCGGCCCCGCCATGGAGTGAGCGCCGCGCTGCCGCCCACCTCCCGCCTCCCTCAGCCCGGCTCTGCCCGGCTCGGCTCGGCTCGCCCCGGCTCGGCCCGGCCCCGCTCGGCGGGAGGTGCGGCCCCGCCGCCTCCTCGGGGCGCCGCGGCCCGGCGGGGAGCGGAGCGATGGCGGCGGGGAGAGCCCGGCGGCCCCTCGGCCCCCTGTGGCTCCTCGGCCCGCTGCGGCTCGGCCTCCTGCTGCTCGGCCAGCCCGGCCCGGCCGCCGCCTCCCGCAGCGGCTCCCCGAGCCCCCGCACAGGTACGGGGAGACACCGGGAGGAGGGAGGGGGGTGTGGGGGGGGCGGTCGTTGAGGGGGGGGCGGCTCCTTCCCCGCCTTCCCGGCGCTGCTTCGGTTGCTGGATCCCTCTGGGCTCGGCTCGGTGCCGGTTCTGTTCGATTCCGTGCCCCGCCGCACTTGTCCGAGCGGGACGGGCTGAGGCGAGCGCCGGTAGAGGCCACTGCGCGCCTCGGGAAAGCGGCTCCTGGCCGCCTGTCCCTGCTGTCCCTCTGTCCTCCTGTCCGCCCTCCTGTCCCTCTGTCCGGCCCTCTGTCCGCCTGTCCGGCCGTGCCCGCAGCCCGGCACCTGCATGGGGAGCCCCCTTCTGCGGGCGCTGCTCGCCCCTTTCCCCATTGTTGCCCTTGCCCATCCGCTAGCGGAGCGGGCGGCTTCGCTGCCTCCAAAAAAATCAAACCAACCACAAAATGAATAAACCCGAGGAAAGCCAGCCCCGTAACAGCGTCCAGATGAAGCGTGGCGTGCGTGCGAGGCTGCCCTGCAGAAAGGCCTCCGCGACAGGGAGAGCTGGGCATGGCTCGGGGGCATCCGCGGGCTGCAAAACGACGGCGTGGAAAAACTTTCCTTTTTCCCCCCCTCTTGTCAGCGATGGAATAGGAGAAAGCTAGAAAAAAACCTTGCGTGTTGAACGCTCGGATTTTTTTTTTTTAATATTTCCCTGTGGATTGAACGCTGGTGTGTGGAAGGCAAGCCCTGCAGTAAGTGGACCCTGGAGCAAACCCAAGTGGTGGTTCAGCGAGCGGCTCTCGGCAACTTGGCGCGAGCGCGGCCGCGCCGTGCTGCTGGCGGTGAGCTGGGGCTGTCCTGCTGCACATCACGCCAGGCAGAACCGCGCGTGCTAGTTCTCAGCTCAGGCACTACTGATGTAATCGCCTGTGCTGACTCCTGTTGACAGGGAATGTATTTATTTAACCTCTCACATAGCGCGAGCTTTGCCGATTCCAGCTCTGAAGACTTCTATTCGTTTTCCTTTTGAAAAAGAAAAAAACACCAACAACATTATATTTAGGTTCCAAGATCTCTGTGTAATAGATAAGTTACTGTTTTGATGTGTAAAATCTTACCATGTGACAATTCTGTTTCAGTATTTATTGCTCTGCTGACAGCTCGCTGCAGTTATAGTCATGTCGGGTGCTTTTTGCTACTTATAAAAAAAAAATCCTTTCTGTTTTGAGAACATCAAACTGATAGGTGACGCTTTATCTGTTGAAGCTAAATAGGTGAGTTAAGTCAGCCAAGGGGGAGTAGCACGCAGAAACACAAAATAAAGCATTCATTGAAGCTGACTGTTTCTCAGAGTGTCAATTTGGAAGCATCAGCGTGGAAACGCTGGAAGTTCAGCGCACCCCTGCTGCCTCCTCTCTCTCTCTCTCTTTTGTGGAATGTGCTTTTATGCCCCGTCGATGTGCTGCCCCGTTCCACCCACAGTAAGGACCAGGAGGCAGGGTTTGCCTGACCCTGAGCTCTTCAGAGGGAGTCACTGGAGGGGGAGAGCCTTTCTTGGTTCTTTGTCTCGATGAAGACGTGAGATGCTTCGTGCACAGCAGATGAACTCCAGCCTAATTTGCACTAGCTCCCACCTGATAATTAGTATTTTTTTTCTTAAACGCGGGGTGTTCCCCGTATGCTCCTGTTTGGCAGGTGGGAGAGGCGCATTCGAGTCCCTCCCTGCTGGTGGAAGAGGGAATCGGACACAGATGTTCCACGTCACGCACAAAGCGCTCCCTTTGTGCTGGGGGTGCAGGGGTGACAGCGCTGTCGGGGGGCCTGGCGCGGGGCTCCGGCTCTTGGGCGAGTGCTGAGCGGTCGCGGTGAGGTGTGTGGGGCTGGGGAGGACGCGTAGCCTCTCGGGGCAGGTTCAGATGTGGCGCTCATCTCAAATCTCCAGTGGCTTTTGCTATGTCCCAAAGGAACAGATTCCTCTTTTGAAGCTTTTTGGTGTTGATAAAAATTACACAAAAGCGCAGAATTTGGAGGTTTGGAAGCCTGCGTTCTTTGTATAGAGCCCCTGATGTTTGAATGATGTTTGAGCCCATCTGTAAATAGGCAGTTGTTGCTCTCTGAAGAAGGAAAGAGCGTAGCTGAATTATTTAAGGAAAAAACCACCTGTGTAACTGCAAGCATTTGTTTGCACGTCTAGGAGCTTGAGTCTGTTTTGCAGTCTATCTGGTTGCTTTGTATATAAGATGAAATGAGCTCCTTATTTCAGAATTAGGACAGTTATTCACTTGCAGAGTAAACCCCCCAAAATCCATATTAAGGAACAAGCATCAACTAGCTAAATCCTGCCTCTTGTAACTGAAACTGATTGAGGTGAATGTGACAACTTTGATCTATACAGGGTTACATTATTAAGAATGAAATTGAAGTTGGTGTCGATTTTAATTTTTAATGGAGAAGCTATGATAAAATATATGCCCTATTAAGATTGCAGATGAGATTATTCTGAAGCAGGAAATTTGTTCCTTCTCTCCCTGATATTGTCGAAATCCTTGGAATCGGTGTGTATTGCGCTGCTAAAGGACAAACTGGCAGTTCAGAAAGTCCATAATGAAATGTGGTTTGGAGTTGGTAAGGATCGAGGATGCACAGGGCTCCCTCAACTTAACGGGTGCTCAGGCACGTGTTGGTGGCAGGCTCTGAAACGGGCACCGCGGGCACTGCTGCAGGACAGTGGGAGCAGCAGAAGGAAAGCTGGAGGAAGCGGGAGCATAGATGTTTGGGGTTCCTGAGAAACAGGAGTCCTAACTCGTTCCTGTTCTGTGTGCATTTCTTGATTATCTCTAAATATATCCCGAGCTAAGAATAGAGACAAATATTCAGGTCTCCATTACAGTCCCGTCAGCGCAGGTCCCCAGCTGATTTCCCTGCTGGATGTAAACGCAGCGTGTGTCAGCCTTGCTTGTCCTGGCTGCTGGGTGGGATCGAATATGAGCAGTTTGATTGCTCGTAGCTGCTGGGATGTGCACACAGCACTGCTGCTGATTACACACAGGTGTGAGCAGGTTGGGGTAAGGGGCTGTGCTGGTGCTGGATGGGGCCTGTTTCTTGGGACCGTGAGCTATCATCCCGCTAACTTCTTACAGGTGAAGTAAGATAATTACACACTGCAGCTTCTCTTCATGTAAATAAGTGTTTGTTTCTTCCTGATGATAGTGGCCTTCTCGTTTGTAAGACTTCAGGCCTTCAAGAGGAGATCCTCGGAGAGATGTGAGAACTACGTGGGCATGTTTTTAAATAACTGGCTGCCCTCTGTGAGGTATTCCGGCCTACAGTTCCCACTCACTTTCCCTTCTGTTTGTTTTAATTTGAAGGAGAGGAGGGTGATAAGGAGCAAGCATGGAAATGGAGTGGGAGTTTAAGAAAACTGCACAAAGAGCAAGATGATATGTTTGTTAACCTTTACTTTCAAGCCATAAAAGCGTATGACTTGTGCAGCATCAGCCTGAGCATCATAAAAGGGTGAAAGCAGATTGGTGCACCATCTCTAGCTTGGCATGGCAGTCATGTTCTGTACAAAACAGATGCCAGTGTGTTCGTAGCTCATTTTTATTAGGAAGCAGTAGGACCTGTAAAGTGTCACTTTGTCTAGTCTAGGAGGAAGAATGCCTGGAGTTCTGGTTAATAACTGGTGCTGCTCGTTTCCCGTGAGGAACCTGCTTCCACAAGTCAGTGAGTGGAAGAGAGGCCTTGCATGACTTCCATTTCCAGGTGAACCCTGGAGCTGCTGCAGGCTGTCTCGCTGAATCCTGGGCTCTGTTCCTAGAACGGGAAACGTCATGCTCCGGGGATATCGATCTTCAGGAAGGGCACGCCAGTTCTTAATAGAGAAAATGTCTCGGTGCTGTGGAAACAACAGTAATATTTTACTGATTGGATGCTATTGATTTAGTTCTCCAGTTAAATTGCTAAGATGAAAGTGGTAATCCTGATTAATTCCATATAAATAAGTAAGCCCAATTTGTACGTGTATCGTTGCAGACTTCCGTAGGAAATTGTTAGGTGCTCTTAATTCCAAGTGTTTTTTACTATGTAGTATTCAAGCCAGGGAGCATATCTTAATTTTACAAAATAAACAGACTATTGATTTATGATAAGCTTTTTTTTTTTAATTATTATTAGCTTAAAAAAAAGT